ACTCCACTAACTACAGGCCTTGAGAGACTGTTCTTTTAAAACCCTGTATTCCTGTAGCTACGGATGAGGACTGCTGCTGATATTGACAAGAACAGCTGGGGTTAGAGAAAGGCTATTCAAGTACCACCAGAGTGATTGAAGGAAATTGCAGAGGAGAACATATTCCAGTGGCATCAGAAATCAACAGCTCTTCCAAGTTTGTAACTTGGTTCTGCAGGTATTTATTTTTTTTCTTCGTGTCTTTCTTTTTGGATAACTTCACTGTAGGTGTCTGAAAGAGCACTTTGGGGTTTTTATGTGAATACAGCCTGGAAATCCTACAGTAGGACGCAGTACTCACTGGGACAGAGTGGCTGGAGAGCTGCATGGGATTAACGGATCTGGTAGTGCTAGTCAACAGACGGCTCAACATGAGGCATGAGACTTTATTGCTTCCTACAACTACCTGAAAGGAGGTTGTAGTCAAGCAGGGATCAGTCTCTTCTCCAGAATAACTACAGATAGAACACAAATTGCACCAGGGGAGGTTCAGAGGTTCAGGCTGGATATTAAGAAAAAAAAATCTGCATGGGAAGAGGAGTGAAGCACTGGAACAGTCTGTCCAGGTTAATGTTGGAGTCACCATCCCTTGCAGGGTTCAAGAAATGTGTAGACAAAGCGCTTAAGGACATAGTATAGCAAGCCATGAAGTTGCAGGGCTTGCAGTTGGGCTCAGAATTCTTGAGGTCTTTTCAAACCATAATGATTCTATCATTCTATGATTCTATGATTTCTCAGCTCCAGGTGAGAAAAGAACTGTCGTTTTAGCTTTGGCACGCGGATTCTCGACTTCTTACCTGTCATTCGTGCTGGTTTTGTCATATTGTTGGTATGCTATTTTAAAGAAAGTATCTTGCATTTTCCATTCTTCTGRCCTAAGCAGTAAAGCTGTTTCTATATTCACACTGCAGCTCATTAGTAACATCACTTGCTGGGATGATTTGTTAATATGCTGTCATATAAGGTAGGATTTGGACCCTGAATTTGTTAATAATACCAGAACTTTGTCATCAGCTGGCGCCCACCATCCTTGGCACAGCAATCATGTCATCCTTTTTGTTTCATCCAGCCTTCCTGGAGGCTCCTTCAGTGCACACTAGCTTCTTAATCTCTCTCACAGCTGCAAATGTACTGCTGGACTTTTTTTGTTTACCTTAAGCTTGCAGACAACTGCAGCACTTCTAATCTTTTTGACTGATAACAGTGTGTTGGCTTTGGGAAATTACCCTATACAAGATGTTGTAAGATTGCAGGACAGTTTGTAACTCGAGAAGACATTGCAGACTTTGAAAACAACTTCTGAAAAGAAGTTATGAAAACATATCCAATTGCTCACAGCATCTGCTAGTTAACTTTTCACCCTGCTTTCATCATTGTTCCAAATCTTTGTTTGTGCTGCATCTTACATTTCTGCACTTTATTCGGCATAATTAGAATATGATATGATGCAGTCTTTTGTACACATGGCATATAAAAATTGCATATCCTTTAGAAATTTACTTTGCTCCAAAAAAGAACTGAAGCAAATGATAGAACTGATCAGCAAAAGTTTCCATGGAAAACTTCCTTTCCATGTAAATCTTACTTTATGAGTTTACATGARACTCTGGCAAAAAATTTACCTTTCCCAGTGCTATCTTTGGCAAACACGAGCCGTTGAATTAACCACTGACGTTTTGTTGCTGTTGTTTTTCTTATTAAGAATATGAAAGGAACATTGTATAACTACTTGCAAACACAGAAGGTGTTACAGGTTACTTTGRAAAAAAAATGCATGTTCTTATCCCTTGGCAGTTTACCTGAACTCCAGAAAAAAAATTTGTGGGAAAGTTGAATTGAAATAAAATTTTAAAAAATTGCTTTTGAAGTTGCCTTTAAGTGATCTGCAGAGGCTGTCACCCTGAAACCATAGCTGGTTAGAGGAGATAGGATGAAGATATTGAATGAGGTGAGCTGCAAGATATGCTTCCGAATCCTTCATGGTTTTGGTCATAGTGACATTGAATTCGGAGGTTTTGGACAAGCATTCAAGACAGAGCTGGATTTCAGCAGAAAGGTCCTAGGTAACRACATGTGGTATTGCTAAGATGGAGGCTGAAGTTAAGCTACATATGTTTTGGTTAGCCTTGCTCAGCAGCTATATATATAGAAATATTCACTGTGGGTCAAAAAAGCATTAGAGGTACACTAGCATTATAGTGCAACTGGAGTATTTAGCCCTGTTTCTATCCTATTATAACTTATAGCATCTTTTGAAATGTGGGAAATATCCTGAAATTTTGCAAATAACCCGAAATCTTATTATAAATACTGCCTCCTATATATTGATTCCTGTATAGCTTTAAATACTATACAGGAATAATACTATTTTTTGAAATATTTTTCATATAACTCACAAAAATCACCAGTGTTTTTACTCAAAGATGCCCATGCAATATCTACTTAGGAAAATACCATGTCAATTTAAAATAGCAAAAGGCAGGCAATTTGTCTAAGGGATTTAAGTAAAATGATATTTAACTTCCACAGATGTAAAGAGCCTGAAATGCAAATAACTGTCTTACTCTTTATGGAAAAATCAAGATTTTGTTCATTTTGCTAAATAGCAAGCATTAAATGATTTGATCTTGGTATAAAATATGATCGTGGCTGCTCTTTTTTTTGTCAACTAGAGATCACCTGAGGTCCCCACCAGCCTAAGTGATTCTAGGGAAACCATCCAGACCATCAGCATGGCCTGAGAATGCAGGAGGCATCAGGGGAAATACCCTAGACATAAATCACTCTTTTTTTCTGGCACATAAACATGCACAAAAATACACATATAAAATCTGTTCATTTTTTCTAATTGAAGTATTAAATGAATGTGATATTCTTACCCACTCAAATATGGATAAAARTCTTGTTGACTTGAACTGAAGCCACTTGAAGTGGCTTGAACTGATCCCATTCAATACAGTCCTGAGTGGGATTTAACATCATTTACTTCCTTTAACTTTCATTTTGACTTGATTAAACCAGTTAGACCTCACTTCTTTTATGCAAGTTATTAAGTCAAGCATAAGCACGGAAATAAACATATATAAATAGCAAGTAGAAGCTGCACTGCAAAATTCCRGTGCACACATTATACAGAAAACAGACATGGCTTGTCCCATATTTCTGAGACTGTCATAGAGGTAAGGAGCTATAAACTTTGCTGCTAGTTCAGTGAATTTGTGAACAGTTGATAGCAATGCCAGTTCTTAGATGCCGGAGCCATCAGTGAACAAAATACTACTGCAGGGATCACTGCACATGGCTAAACCCTAGAAATGTGTGCCATGAGCCTCTGGGTACCAATCTTTGGGGAGTCTGAATGCAGAAAGAGCCTCACTTTCTTACATTTCCACGAAGAAAAGAGAACAAAACAAACATAGGTATGCAGATTGAATTTCAGGCCCTATTAGAAATGTCTTTTCTATGTCTGTTGTACCTCCCTACAGGTAGAGAAGGACTGACACCATCAGGTGGCAAGGTGATTGCTTTGTATTAAGAGGAGAACAAAAGCAAGAGAGAGTAAGACTGAAGGCAGTGCATGAGAGATCACTSCAGTGGTCTTACTGAACCATTTTTCCCAAAGCAGTACTGCTGTTGGGCATTATGTTTTAGAAYACTTGGACAAGACTCAAGACTGCCTCCTTGGCCACTGGCTAGGCAAGATAAGGCTGAGGGGGCACCTGAGCAGTGTCTATAAATACCTCAAGGGAGAGARTGAGCTGGATACAGTTGGCCCCTTTTCAGTGGTGGCCACTTACAGAACTAAAGGAAACTGCCACAAACAGCTACAAACTGAAGAATCAAAAGTTCCACAAGAACTTAACGAAAAAATTCTTAACAGTGAGGGTGATAGAGCCCTGGAACAGGCTGTCAAGARAGGTTGTGGAGTCTCCTTCTCTGGAGCTCTTCAAGACCTGCTTGGACGCAATCCTGTGCAACATGCTCTAGGTGACCCTGCGTGTGCAGGGGAGTTGGACTAGATGACCTCTAAAAGTCACTTTTAACCTTAATGATTCTATGATTTTATGATTCTGTGTTATCCATGTTATCCACGTATAATGATGTTATCGTTCATCTCCTCTGCCAGCACTGCTCCCTGCTCTCTCTGGACAAGCATGTGACCACTTGAGGACATAACGCTTAAAATGTGCCGTTGACTTTTCTGTCTCCTTTTGTGTTTCCTCCTCCTCCTTTTTCCCTCATAAGATCCATATACTGTCTAATTTTTCCCTAGTTTTGAACTGGTAGTGTTTATTTTCTTTTATTTAACAACTGTGAGGCCTACCTTAGGTGGAAGTTTATCGGATCTTATTTCAGAGTCAGGGTACTTTAGTTAGCACAGTGGTTAAAATATAAACAACAGCAGAAGGCTTTTTAAATAGAAGTTGACCCTTGAAATTAGGTTTACTGTAAACTGAGAAAAATCCCCTGCAAAATAGATTGTCAACAGTGTCAGAATACAGGTCACAGTTTACGCAATAAATTTACATAAACATAATTTCCTTAAATTTTTCACTCAGAAAAAAGACAGAAAACATTTTATCAGTTATTTACTAAAAGTAAAAGGAACAAAAGGCAAGACTCAGTTGAGAAATAAGGAGGACTTTCATTTCAATGGCAGAATGAGTATGTGACAAAAGAGAGATTTACATGGCCCTCATTCATGGCGCCTAAGTGTATTAGGACAGAGAATACAGGATACAGAGGTCAGAACAACTGTTGAATAATTTCATCTCTACAGCTTGTGGGCATAGAAGTTAATGTATCTGTGAAAGGAGAAAGTGACAGTCACAATGAGGTGAGAAAGAGAGCATGTTCTTTTCAAAATAAAAGGATTTAGTCTTTGAGTCATTCACTTCTTCTGGCTGTTGGTGGATGCCAAAAACCAATAGGATAAATTCAGATAGACATGAGAAGCAAAGGGTCTAGAAAGGGAACAAACTCTTTATAGTCAAGAGTCACAGAATTAATAACTGTAGTTTCTGTGTTGCAGAAAAAAAAATGTTTTGAAAATCAGGGGCCCACAATTCTTTWCTTTAGCTGCGAAGAGGAAAATTAACACAGAGAACCAGTCAGTAGTCTTTACTGGAGATAATTAGGAGAAAATACAATCTTCTTCCTTGCCTKAAAAGCAAGCAGTTGAAGAATACACTCAGCTCCAAATATTTACTTGGAAATAGTGCCCAATCCAATAGCAATTGCAATTTGGCAGTCAGTCTGCGAGAACTCTTTGTAAATGGGGGTTAATTTCATCATATCCCTGCTAAGCAGGAGGGCAAAAGCAGTCTTCAGTTTTCAGAGAGACGCGTTGGAGAAGCGGTGTCTAGGCTCAGGTTCCTCCTCAGCCTTCTCTTCTCCAGGCTGAACAGACCCAGCTCTCTCAGCCTTTGCTCATACGGCAGATGTTCCAGGCCCCTGATCATCYTCGTAGCCCTGCGCTGGACTCTCTCCAGCAGCTCCACCTCCCTCTTGTACTGGGGAGCCCAGAACTGGACACAGTCTTCAGATGTGGCCTCACCAGGGCTGTGTATAGGGGGACGATCACCTCTCCCGACCTGCTGGAGACGCTCTTCTTAATGCACCCCAGGATCCCRTTGGCCTTCTTGGCCACCAGGGCACACTGCTGCCTCATGGTCATCTTGTCATCCACCATGACACCCAGGTCCCTCTCTGCGGGACTGCTCTCCAGAAGGTCAGTCCMCAGCATGTACTAGTGTCTGGGATTATTCCTCCCCAAGTGCMGGACCCTGAACTTGCCCTTGTTGAGAAACTTCATGAGATTTCTCACCGCCCAGTCGTCCAGTCTGTCCAGTTCCTTCTGGATGGCAGCACAGCCCACAGGGCTATCAGCTATTCCTCCCAGTTTTGTATCATTAACAAACTTGCTGAGGGAGCACTCCATCCCTTCATCCAGGTCACTGATGAATAAATAAAACAAGACTGGATGGAGGACTGACCCCTGAGGGACACCRCTAACTATGGGCCTCCAACTGGACTCTGCACTGCTGATTACCACCCTCTGCCATCTAGCCAGTGCTCAATCCACCTCACCGCCCACTCATCTATCCCACACCTCTGGAGCTTGCCCATCATTAAGATGGAGCTCATGATTCTATGAACTTTTTGCCTTCAATTGTGTGGGACTAAATTTCATGACCCATAAGTGCATTTTAAGAGGGATTTAAATAGGCTGGAGTTGGGCATGAGGTTCAACAAGGACAAGTACAGAATCCAGTACAGATTAGGGGCTGACCTGCTGAAAGGCAGCTTCATGGAGAGGGATTTGGGAGTCCTGGTGACAACAAGTTAGCCATGAGGTAGCAGTGTGCCCTTGTGACCAAGAAGGTCAATGGGATCCTGGCTGCATCAGGAGGAGTGTTATCAGCAGGTCAAGGGAGGGGATCCTGCCCCTCAGCTCTGGTGAGACYGCACCTGGAGTATTGGGTGAAGTTCTGGGTTCCCCAGTACACGAAGGATGTGGAACTTTAGGGAGCGTTCAGCGTAGAGCAACAATGATGATTWAGGGACGGGAGCATCTATCTTAGGAGGAACAACTAAGTGAGCTGGGCCTATTTAGCCTGGAGAAGAGAATGTTGAAGGGGATGTGATTAATATGTACAAATACCTGAGGGGAGAATGTARGGAGGATGAGGCCAACCTCTTTTCRGTGGTGGCCATGGATAGGACAAGGGGCAATGGGTGTAAGTTAAAACATAGGCAGTTCCATCTCCATGTGAGGAAGAACGAGTTTCCTGTGAGGGTGACAGAGCCCTGTCACAGGCTGCCCAGGAAGGTTGTGGAGTCTCCTTCTCTGGAGATCTTCCAAACCCACCTGGATGTCACCCTGTGCCACATGCTCTGGGTGTCCCTGCTTGAGCTGAGGGGTTGGACTCCCTGGTGATCTCCATAGGTCCCTTCCAACCTCAACTGTACTGTAATTCTGTGATTCTTTATCCAGTATGCAATCCCCATCTGACTCTGGTGGGTGACTTGTAATTTTCTATTCAACAACTTGTTTTGAAGCTCTATCAATGACCTAACATACTAGAGAAGACACACAAGGGATCTGCAGTGCAACTTTTCCAGGCAAATGCCACTTGGTAATTGCGGAGTGAGTTGATGTTGAAATCAGGCTAAGACATGGATGTACAAAGTCTGACACCTTCACTACATGAATTTAAGCATGAAACAGTAGGTTAATTGTCTGGAAAAGAAAGCACTAAATAGCTATCTATGTATCTAAATGGCTATGCTATACATTGAAGGAAAATACCTTTACGTCTTCCTTTCAGAATTAATTAAATGCCTAGATCTAGGAAATGTGGGAGAGAATTCATTGATGAAAAAGTAAAATTAAACTATCTCACAGGCTTAATATTAATTGGATTTGATCATAGTGCTTACCCTGAGATTAAACAGGAAAACAAGAAATTGGTCCATCTAAATCAGTGCAAATGTATATGGCTGAAATTATCACTGAGACCTTTAAAGTGAACACAATGTTAAGAGAAATTTAATTTCTACCTGGAAACATGAATTTTGAGAACAAAAGTAAAGAGAACATTCATATTACACAGCATCTAGTATGAATGACTGAGTCTTTTTTGGTAGTATATCCAATTCAAGGTTGTTTGAACATCCATATTATGGCAAAGGAGGGGGTGGTCACAAAGTGGGAGAATGATTAACTTAACCTGAGTGTCTTGTTTGTTTGATGCCTCCTCACTCCAGCACAAGTCAATAAAACTTTGTGCACTGACACGCGCAGCTTGCAGCATCCCCCAGCTGGGCCAGAATGGGGATTAGCAAGGCTGCCTTCCTCTTTCTTCTCCTGCTCGACTCAGGTAAGCGTCTTTTGCCTTCCACTAGAGTACAGGAGATGGGGACTCAGCACATTTAAGCTGTATGTTGTAAAGGTAGGTTCCAAAAGCCTAGGATTGTCAAGTAAAGTGAGGAGAGGTTGAAAAGAGAGGGCTCATTGGGGCTGTGTTTGTAGACACAGTGGAAGAGCAGTGGTGCAGTACCCAGCATCTGTGTGGAGAACAAATGTCTTCTTTCAATCTTGCCAAGCGGCCAGGCCTGGGGGCACCCTTAAAAAGTAGCCCAAATATCTGCTGCAGAGCCCACCACAGTCCCTGAGATGGCTAACTTTAATTACACTAAGGTTTCTGTCTTTTTCATAGCCAAAATCTTACGGGAAAAAAATAATTTCATTATGGTAAGGTGGCGAAATCCTGGTCAGTATTAATACTTTATTGAATTTATGTAAATATTTGAATAAGGCAGTAACATATCTTTTTAATACTGAAGAACTGCATATGTTTAGAAAAAATGGCAGCAAGAAAACTTACTGCATTGTTTTTACATRTATATTTTTTCTCAAATATTGTCTGTACAATGTACTTTTAAGAGAAAAGGGAAAAATATATTTTTATGATCCAAATCAAACCAGTATTTCCAAAACTGAGTGCTCTAACTGTAATGATTCAAGTCCAAGTGTCAGATCAGAACAAAACAAAGACTGCATGGAAGCCACCTTTTAGTATATTAAGAATTCTTTAATTCCTTCTCCTTTTGGGAAAGAATTGCAGCATCCTTCTACTTTAATTAATGATTTCTCTTAAAAAAAGATTTTTTAAAATTTCATTCTGTTTCATTTTTTGGCTTGAAAYAACTACTGGAATCAGTGAGTCCTGTGCCTGTCATATTGAACTTTCAAAGGATAGTGAGTATACACTATCCTTTTCCAGTGTATCTTATTTTTCTTAGCTATCCTTTTCTTTGCTGTGTACTGTTAAACTATCAACCCAAAGGGCTAGGGACTCAAGGTCAAACTCTGTCCAAAACAGCATACTTCCAGCAGAAACTCTCCAGGAACTTCTCTGGGTTTACAACAGTGTGACAGGAAGGATAATTTGACCCTTGTGTCTACTTTATTAGTTCTGTCTTGTTGGTGTAAAATGATTGGGAACAGTACTAATTTGCAGGCTGAGGAGGAAAGAATTTCATTGGATCAAGGAATATTTGTGCCTATGTGTCATACCAGAAGAAAGCATAGCAGTTGCTAAGCCTCAACCTRAAGGATATTTGACCCAATAGTCCTGGGTAGTCCCCTAATCACAGGCTAGAGGTCACCTGGGGTGAGTCTGTTTTCCATCCCTTCTGCTGGTATTGGGCTACTGCTAAAAAGTAGAGATCAGAAGARGAGGAGGAAGCCTGTCTCTGCAGCTTTACTGGATAAGTTGTCACCCATAAGGGGAGACAGAGCCACATCCTTCCCATGACTTTTTGTCCAGCAGTTGCACGAAGCGAAGCACAAGAAGAGTGCGCAGAGAGTCATGATGTGTTGTGAAGACCGTGGGCTAAGTCTGTGTTTGGGGTTGAAACAATTTAGAATGGGGAACTCTCAGAGCCAAATGTTAGTACAGCCATACCTTCATCTGATAGAGAAAATGTAAAAAACACATGTTTTGGGCAACTCCAACTGCTTATTTCTAGAATCATTAAAGTCATGTTAACAATAGCTTAATATTCAGAATTTGAAGATCCTTCACAAGAAGGATGTTAATTTAAAGTGTTAGGAATTACTYGATTCATATAGCTGTACTTTTTACCGTCTAATATATTTCATGTGTAGCTGTAGCTCAGAGGCTGTCTGATTATTTACTAATTTATTGTCTCATGTTAATTCATTCCAGTGAAGAGTGACATTTGCTACTTCAATTATTATATGAACCGAAGTATGGAGTTATCACAAGAACAGTAAATATGAGCACACCAGTGACAGAGGCTAGCTTGTTCCTTGCAGAACCGCGTGAAGAGAAACAACTATGATGTGACTGATAAAACTGAAATGATTACATATTTCTTGTCAATAGTTATCAGAAATGGACAGTTATTGTTTCACATCCTCTCTGAGCCCCATTTCTCCATTTTATCCAAAGTATGGATTACCCATTATTTTTGTCATTGAAACTATTTTGCTTTTTTCACTCTTTGGGTCCTCTTCCTGCATAACTCTATGCATTAAGTTTGTTCTGCTTTTTATAACTTTCACAATGATACAAAACTCTGTTCAAGCCACATCTCTGTCCTACCTTCCGTTGTGTTTTCTAACATCTGCTTCAATGACACAATCCTTCACCATATTAGAGGACTCAAGACTTACTCATATTTTGTCACCATTGACCCTGTATTATTRCAATTAAATGATGCTACTCTCTGAGGTGACATAAAATTTGACAAGAAAAATTGAAATAAACCATATGACTATCAGCATTGTCATTTTTAACTCTCTTTTTTTCTTTTTTAGCWCTGGGAGATGTATTAGATGGCTATGTAAGAACAGAAGGGGCTTGGCTGCTTAGCACAAAGAAGCAAATTTATAAAACAAGTAGTGAAGAAGAATGTGCAGAGCAATGTGAAACTGAAAATAAATTTACTTGCAGGTAATTTCTGCCGATTTCCATAGGTTTCATCACAGATGATAAAGTATTTAACTTTATTTATCAACTGAACTTTTGAAGGTATTTTTTTAGAAGCATGTATTTCCAAGGTTTGTGAGAAAAACAAAAGATGTATAGAGAGTGAATAGARAGTGATGCCTGGAAGATTTGAGTGAAGACGAACTGATAAGGACATTTCAAAAATTATGTGGAATTTATATTGGAAAACAATAGGATATCTTGATACACAGTTTGGCACATTATATGTGGTTTGATAAATGCTTTTATGYTCCTTTTGCCATAAACACAAATAATTTATTAGAAATTAGTACAGCCACAATGACATTGCTTAGGTTCATTGCATTACCAATTATCCTGCAAATGAACCATTATTCTGAATTTTACTAGAGTTATGCAACTTCCATTCAATTTAAGAAATAGACAGCAATCTATATCTTAATCATCTGACTATCATAAAACCTATTTGCACCCAAGCCCTCTCTCTGCATTTGCATTTAACCAGGCCGAGAGGTTTGGGGGCACAGAGGGCATTGGCCAATCCATACCACCATTCTTTGCTCAGGCTCCTATTTTAGTAAAATCTTTTGTAATTTTAATTCCTAAAAGCCCATTGAACTTCAGCAGTGAAGTAGCCATTARTAGTAATGAATGGGAATCATTTTTAATGCAGTGGGAGCCTGTCCTTCCATATGAGACTAAGGTGGTTTTCTTCCAATAATCTTCATGAGTTCTAGATCTACTGCTTTTGTGGACACTTTTAGAACTCTGAACAAGGTTGTCTGCAGAATTGTTTCCATCATTTGATCCCTATCAGGGCTTTTATTCCAGGCAAGGATACCCTGCTGCTGAGTTTTTGATATGTTCTATAGCCTTGTATTCTAAATCAAAAAAAAAAAAAAAAAAAAAAAAAAAAGAGTACACAAGACTATACCTCAAGAGGGGAAATTGCATTTACTTTAAAGAGATGACTGACTACCACATTGCTGTTGTTCATTATTGATTCATAAACTACTGACATAGAAATTACTTGGCCGGTCAGGTTTCCCTAGATAATAATGTACAGGTTACACCATCCACTCCAGTTTTACAGGATGTCTTATAAATTGGGTACTCACTGACTAGACAAATAGCAGTAATTTCCAAAGTGCTTACATTGCTTTGAGTGTGAAGAGACAGAACAGTTATCATGAGGTAAATTAAGGTGCTGCCTTGTTTTATTTTTCCTACTCCTTGGTAACTGCTGACATGCTTCAACTTACTGCAGGATATTTTCTTCTGGAATGACAGCTGGTTTTTTTTTTTGAAAAAAGGTCAAGGTCCTTTGTGCAAGTGTTGTCTTCTCTGGTATTTCTGGTACATTATAAATCCTCTGCTATTTCCCTTGCTGTAGTTTGCTCTTGTAGCTGCCTTTCAACCTAAATTTGGTATGAAAACTTAGAATTCAAAGTCACCACTGAAAATGCAAACTAGGATGCTCAATGATTTGAGAAATATTACTGAATCTTATACATTGCTGGAGTGTTTCACAATTAGGAATTTCTGAATTCATAACAGACCACTATAATAGGTGTTCAGAAAAACAGTGTATATGTTCAATTATTGTTTTTTTATCTTGGTCTCTTCTTTTAATTTCAACAGGGCATTCTTATTCACCAGTAAAGATCAACAGTGTTTAACATTGGCCGAGAACACCAAAAGAGCAGTAATCTTCAGAAGGACAAATGCAGTTCTCTATGAAAAAAGAAGTATGTCTTTATTTTGATATTATTTCACTGAGGTTTGCTTTCCAGTGGGATTTGCATAATCTGTTGTAAAAACAAGGGGCTGAGTCCTCCTTGGGTCATGTGCAAAGGACAGRTCAGCCTTCCTTTAGCCACTCTTTCTTGCCACAGTTGCTAGTAAAGCAGTGGTACCAGCTTTTTTTCCTAGCATTTCCAGCATTTTTTTTTTTTTTTTTAGTACCTAAATGTGAATAGCAGGACCCACATGGCAGAAAAGAGTACTGATGCTCTGGGAATGGGAATGGTGCTTGTAGTAATTTAGATGCATAAGATGTTTCTTTAAAACCAATCTGATAAGCTGTAGCTGCATCTGCATCTTTTTGCCTCTCTGGAGGCTGCCAGGAACTTGTGCTGGCAATGGTTTCTGTGATAGACCTTTGCCCACTGGAAAACTGATAGGAACTACCAGAAAATTTCATATATATCTCTAAAGAAAAATCTCAGTTTACTGGGAAGGACTCAAATCAACATTATTTTATTTTCATAAAATAAAGGAAGGATTTAGGGTATTAACCATGCTTCTGTTAAAATGGCCTATTTTTATAGCATTTGTATATTGCTATAGGATATTTTTACTCTTAATGTGCTTTGATGAAATTCTTATCCTAATYTGCTTTTTAATTAATGTAAGTACTGAATGTCATGATATTTTGGATTCTCCATTTGTATTTATTTTGTTTCTGGTCACTCAGTTTTCTCATAAATGGGATTGATTTGACTGAAGTGTATTTGATCTTATATTCTATCTGAAGATAGAAAGTCTTTAAGAAATATCCAACATGCAAATTCTTCATATTTGGAAAAATCTATTGCCATATTCCAAATGCCACCATATGATTGGGTTCTAAAACAATTTTTGAACTGCATAATCAAGCACTCCTACTACTCATGAGAAAGAAGGAATGTATTTCATATTTAATATAAAGTCAGTTTCATCATATCACATTCATCCACATATACCCACACAAATCAAAAGATTAACCTATATATTAAAAGCATCAAAAATGAAATTCATTTCATTCGTTCTTTTTTTCTCTTCTGGTTCTGCACTTTTTCATTACAGCTGGATTACTCTGTAACAAGAATCTATCCTAGATTCTCGTACAAAGCAGGATAGAGTTACGACTACTTCCTTCCTTCCTTCCTTCCTTCCTTCCTTCCTTCCTTCCTTCCTTCCTTCCTTCCTTCCTTCCTTCCTTCCTTCCTTCCTTCCTTCCTTCCTTNTCCTTCCTTCCTTCCTTCCTTCCTTCCTTCCTTCCTTCCTTCCTTCCTTCCTTTTTCTCATGTGTTAAAGGTTACTTGAGCTTTTCCATTTCAGAAAGTCTTAAAAAAAGTCTCTGACATCAGAGAGTCATCTGTCTATTCTAAGGATAACATTGATTTAATTTTCTTGTGTTACAGAACACAAGACAAAAATGTAGTATTTACTTAGGTAGAGTTCTAAGCACCTGCTACTATCCTGATATTTCAAGGAAATTCCTATCAGGCGTSAGGCTGAAATTAACATTATTTTTTTCTGACCAGAAGCAATTAGTATTTGAGAGCTAATTACTTTTTATCTTTGCTTTYGAAGACATGGATGCGATTTGGCACAAAAATGAGTTTTGTTTTCAATTGCTTATCCTATTATGCACGAAACAAAAAGTTAACCTTTTCTGTGTTACAGAGAAAGTAATAAGAAGTAAGGTTTGCATTTTTAAGTTGCTATCCCCATACCTATTTGTAAATCATTAACAAAGCAGACATGGGTTGAGTTTGGAATCGAAGCTGGTTATTTGTCATTAGACAGAAAGAAACCTAAAGGTTATATAAACGGTCAAAAGTTTATGCAAACAGAAAGAGTCAGCACTAGACCGATTCAGAGTTTTTAATGTTAATTTGTTGCAAAACTCTTGAGGACTTCTAATGGCTGCCAATTAATATTTCTGCCATTTGTCCATGTCCTTCATTGAAATGAAGGCAGTCCTAAAGATAGACCTACATATTCAGATCTAAATTATCAATTGACCTACAGAAGATCTAGATGATTTCAGATTTGAGAATTAATTCTTTCCACTTCTGTCAATATAGATTTTTTTGTCACAACCTAGAAGTGAGATTTCTTCATTGCAACCAGAAGGGAAAGACTGGCTGCTGAAATAGCAACAGAAGTGCAAAGGGAAATGTTGAGCGGAGAGCAGTAAAGGCTGATGGATGTTTCTGAAAAAAATCAAATCAGGATCTTACTTCAATTCAATCTGTATTTTATAGAATAAAATACATGTTGAAGCCTGTCTTAAGAGAACAAAAAAGAGAGGACTGACAAAAACAATTAGTTATATTGCTACTAAACTAAGAAAGTTTTGTGAATCTTATGGTCAGTGTGTTTGGATTGTAGACTTGGCAACAACTAATTTTAATGTTTAACTTTAGTAGCTGTTTGAAAAGTAAACAAAGATGACAGAACTCTTTGACTCAGAGATGATGAATTTGTAACTTCACAAACCTGCACTGTGGGCGAGCTTTGCAATAGATATRTTTTGTGATATGTTCATTTCTTATATGTGTTTTGTACTGATGAGTTTTGCACAGAGTGGCATTTGTGCAGGTGGTCTATGTTAGGATACATGAGCAAGGATCTGAAGTTCTGTTGGTTTTCATGAGCTTTGGATTTGGGTGATTGGCCTTCACTACTGTACATTTAGTTCTCTACAGCTTGGTAAGGCTTCAGTTTTGCAATGCAGCATGAGACTTTTTCCAAGTTTTCCTTCAAGCTATGTCTTGACAACAGCATGACCTGTTAACAATTGCACAGTTATGTCTGTAAAAGCAGTTAATCTGGAGACAGTTGAGATTTGAGGTAATGTGCAGAAAGCTGATTTGCTTCAGTTGTGCCCTGGTGGAGCTGACCCTTATAAACCTCCTCTCAGTCTTAGCTGTGAATGCTTTTGTGGGGAAGGTGACAGTTCAGTCTTCCTATGATGAGCCCTTTCAGGACTGCAATGTCATTATGATTGCTTCTTCCTTCAGCCAGGAAGAAATGATTGTGACATGTCAGTCAAAGACACACAAAGATGTGTGAGCTTTCGGCTCTCACTATAGTTTTATGTTTTATTGTTTTATGTCTACCAATACCAATTGAGGTCAGCTGTAAGAGCTACCCTCAACTTCTATAAAGACATAGTTCTATTGTTAATTCTTTCTTCCTTTTCCTCTTTTTCTTTTTTTAAATGTAGAGGCTCTATTGAGTTCTAAAAGCTAAGAACTCTCAAAGTGTAAGTAACATGTATCTTCAACCAGTTGTCCAGTTGTCAGTCTTATGTTACAATGGAGAGCTATTGTTTCAGCATATTATTGTGCTTTAATGAAATTTAATTCATGACAAGGTGAACTTTAATTAAACATTTTCTTCTGCACTTGTATGAAGGTAACAAGTGGGATCAAGTTAAAAACACTAAACTTCTAAACTGGTAAAATGCTGTGTATATGCATCCATGACTTTGTTCTGCTTTCTTCTTTGGMTGAACAGCTCTGTTTTAAGGCTTATTTTTTATTACTAAGCATAGCTATAATAACAGCATTGAGACAATAAAAAGAGATTATTTTCATATTTTTATGGTGCSTATAAAACATATTGTATAATTTAAATCTACTGATGTAAATCAAATGTATCTTGATTTAAATCAAAATAGCCATACTTTGTTACATCTTCTTCTCTAAGACTTCTCATTTACAAGCTTTGGTCTTTCACATAATTTTTTCAGTACTACTTAATTCAACATTGACACTGAAAAACTAGTATGTTTTTAGAATACCACCTCTCTGTTTCTAAAGACATGAGAGACTTGGAGTATGGTTAAATATATCTAATGTATTAGCACAGAAAATGTATCTTGTATATGCTTAGTTCTGACAGAAACACAGTGATACCAATTAATCATATGTGCACCCTTTCAGTTTATCTTCTAGAATGCAAGAAGGGAAACGGGGTGGATTACAGAGGAACGGAAGCCAAAACTCAGACGGGTGTGCAATGTCAGAAGTGGGCTGATAATGCTCCCCATAAACCAAAGTATGCCTTTTTCATACTTCTATGTTTTTCTGATCATCTCTAAGTAGTTTACATGTAGTAAGTACCTTTATAGACAAACTGTTTACTGTTCAAGTTCTTCTTAGGAAATAATTGTGCGTGCTTCTATGGGCATTTACAAAACACTGGACAGGGAAGCATCTGATTTTGTTGAAGGAAAACATGACTTTTTTAATTTCACCAGAGAAGGACTTTCATCTCTTGGCTTAAGGTATAAAACATGGCAGATAAAATGAAGGAATGTTATTTTATCAGTGAATCCATGGATTAATTGCATGGACTATTGTAGACTATTAGTTCCTCCTACTGACATAGCACAGTGTTCAGATTACAGAAGGCACCCTTGCATGTGATAACATGTGCTAAAAGAGATCTTTGTTAAAAAATATACCTCCGTTGAACAAAAGTTACAGGAAACTGAACATCTGGTGCAAAAGCAAATATTAAAAATATAACTACCCTTTGAGACAATGAATTTCTTGAAATCTTTATCTACGGCAGTTCTAACTTGGCACCAGTGGCACTTGGTAGCAATAAAGAGACTTCTAATAACGGTCATCTACAAAATGATCCTCAGATAGAGATTTTATTTTTATAAGTCAAAGCTATCTGAATAACCAGGACATTTTCCTTATTGTCTAATCCTGTTATAATTCTATTACAGTTACACACCTGAAAAATACCCCAATGCAGGGTTGGAGGAAAACTATTGTAGAAATCCTGATAATGATGCAAAGGGACCCTGGTGTTACACAACAGATCCTGCTACCAGATTTGATTATTGTAACATTCCAGAATGTGAAGGTCAGGATATGTATATTCTTTTTTCCTCTTTTTTTGAAGATGTGTTTAAGAAGGTGAATTTATTTTTATTTTTGGTTTTAAGTGAACATTTATTCCAAAACTTAATTTAGTTCAACCTTGAACTTCTAAAAGGTTTTCAGTACAAACAAGGAAGGTAGTCCCCCCAMAATTCCAAATACTTATACAAGTTATTTTTTTCCTTGGTGAAGGATGGTATATTACTTTATTTTCTTACCTTTTTAAAGTTGGGCCAAATGGCAGATGTTACTGCAAAAGTCAAAAACATGATAGCAGCAAGGCACAGATTTTGAATTATAGCTAAATAATTTTAATTTATCTCCTTTTAAAAACATTGGGTTTTTTTTTTTTTTTTTGCTAATTAGAATACCATAATCAGCTAGTTAGAGCCAACTTCCTATGGGGATAAAAAAAAAAAAAAAAGATTTTGCTTTGCCAAAGAGGTCTTGTCCTCCAGCTGTGCACTTTGACTAGACTCTTGATATTAAGGTGAGATAAATGTGAATGTTTATGGCCTGATTCCATAGTGATTTTCTGCCTTTTTTGGGGCTTCATTCTTTCTTGCTTTTACAGTGGAGTGCATGCACTGCAGTGGGGAAAACTACCATGGTGTAGTTTCAACAACGGTCTCTGGGATTGAATGTCAGCGTTGGGATTCTCAGAAACCTCACTCTCATGGATACCTCCCTGAAAAGTGAGTTGAACTCAGTGCTGAACAACTTGTTTTCAGAGTCGCTGGAAGACCACTCTGCCACAGACACACTGGTCATTACCGTCCATCCTTAGTGACTTCTACTTTTATTTTCTTCTGTTCAGTTTTCCAGAGAAGGATCTGAAAATGAATTATTGCCGTAATCCTGATGGTGAACCTCGGCCCTGGTGCTTCACTACCAGCCCCACCAAACGCTGGGAATACTGTGACATTCCTCGTTGCAGTGAGTCTGACTTATGGAGATCTGGGCACAGAGAGGCTATTTTGCAATGATCTAAAACAATAAGATAGACTCCGAGCATAACATACAGACTAAAAGACTGTGCTCACTTTGAAGAAAAAAAAAAAGAAAAGTGGAGCTTTGGTAGCACTTTCATTGCTAGAAGTTTCTGTCATAAGCATTTCTAGTGGTTTTGCCTGGAACATTCTCTCTCTCTCTCTCTCTCTCTTTCTCTCTCTCTCTTTCTCTCTCTCTGTTGCTCAATGACCAGCTGTCTCACAGGTTATCTTTCTTCTGTGTTCCTTATTTGATGTCACTCTTCCTGAAAATATTTTGATCTTTGTTCTGGTCTTCTAGTTCAGTTCTCCCTTTTTAGATTTTCCTTTCCAGTGAAGTCTTGTTGTTGCTGCAATACTTTTCCTGGAACTTTTCTCCAGACCTTATCCTCACTGTCTCTAGCTCCCACCAGCTAGAGAACATTTTTTTTTATATCTGTACTTACAGCCTGTATCTATTTCTGATGTACCCACCACTTTCATCCCAAGTCTCTTCCCAATATTGCCATTTGCTTATTTTACCACTCCATTCTGATGGGGCTGATGGGTACTTTGTGGTGGCATTTCATAGATGCCACCACACAAAAAAAAAAAAAAAAAAAAAAAAAAAAAAGGTGGATGGAAATGACCTTCTGGTAGTCTGATTTGACTGAGTTTGTGAAAATGTTTAGATAGTTTCTCTACATTTCACACTTCCAAATATTTTAGTCTTTATAACTTACCTGTAAAAAAATCCAATTTAACTATCAAAGTGTTTTTTTTTTTCTTATGAGTCTAGAAGACACTGCTTAATTTCATTTCCTTTTTCTGGCACAGCTACACCCCCACCAATTCCTAAGCCAGGGCGTCAGTGTCTGTCAGGAAGAGGAGAAGACTACCAAGGCACGGTATCTGTTACAGAATCAGGAAATACCTGTCAGCACTGGAGTGCTCAATCTCCTCACAAACATGCTCGCACTCCTGAAAACTATCCCTGCAAGTAAGTGGAACTTCTTTATTATTCAGAGTCCATGAGCAGTGCCAAGGCACAGAGTTGCTTCATAGAATCATAGAATGCCCAAGGTTGGAAGGGACCTCAGAGGTCATCAAGTCCAACCCCCCTGCTCACGCAGGGTCACCTAGAGCACGGGGCACAGGGCTGCGTCCAAGCAGGTTTTAAAGATCTCCAAAGAAGGAGACTCCACAACCTCTCTGGGCAGCCTGTTCCAGGGCTCTGTCACCCTCACTGTCAAGAAATGTTTCCTTAAGTTCCTGTGGAACTTTTGGTTCCTCAGCTTGTGGCCGTTTCCTCTAGTCCTATCGCTGGCCACCACTGAAAAGAGGCTGGTCCCCTCCTCCTCACTGCCTCCCTTGAGGTATTTATAGACACTGATCAGGTCCCCACCTCAGCCTTCTCTTCTCCAGGCTGAACAGGCCCAGCTCTCTCAGCCTTTGCTCACAGGGCAGATGTTCCAGGCCCCTGATCATCCTGGTAGCCCTGCGCTGGACTCTCTCCAGCAGCTCCACATCCCTCTTGTACTGGGGAGCCCCAGTACTGCCCAGAACTGGACACAGTACTCCAGATGTGGCCTCACCAGGGCTGTGTATAGGGGGACGATCATCTCCCTCGACCTGCTGGAGACGCTCTTCTTAATGCACCCCAGGATCCCGTTGGCCTTCTTGGCCACCAGGGCACACTGCTGCCTCATGGTCATCTTGTCATCCACCATGACACCCAGGTCCCTCTCTGCGGGACTGCTCTCCAGCAGGTCAACCCCTAATCTGTACTGGTGTCCGGGGTTATTCCTCCCCAAGTGCAGGACCCTGAACTTGCCCTTGTTGAGAAACTTCATGAGATTTCTCACCGCCCAGTCGTCCAGTCTGTCCAGTTCCTTCTGGATGGCAGCACAGCCCTCAGGGCTATCAGCTACTCCTCCCAATTTTGTATCATCAGCAAACTTGCTGAGGGAGCACTCCATCCCTTCATCCAGGTTGTTAATGAATAAGTTGAACAGGACCGGACCGAGGACCGACCTCTGGGGGACACCGCTAACTACAGGTCTCCAACTAGACTCCGCGCGACTGACAACCACTCTCTGCACCCTGCCACTGAGCCAATTCCTAATCCACCTCCCCATCCACTCATCTATCCCACACCTTCAGAGCTTGCCCAGGAGGATGCTGTGAGGGACAGTGTCAAAAGCTTTGCTGAAGTCCAGATAGAGCACATCTACCGCTTTGCCCTCATCTATCCAGCTAGTCACTCCTTCATAGAAGGCGATCAGGTTAGTCAAGCAGGATTTCCCCTTGGTGAATCCATGCTGGCTACTCCTGAGCACCTCCACGTGTCTAGAGACAGCAGCCAGGATGAGCTGATCCATCACTTTTCCAGGGATGGAGGTGAGGCTCACCGGCCTGTAGTTGCCCGGGTCCTCCTCCTTGCCCTTTCTGAAGACCGGAGTGACGTTGGCTTTCTTCCAGTCCTCCGGCATCTCCTCCGTTCTCCAGGACCTTCCAAAGATGATGGCGAGCGGCTCGGCTAGGACATCTGCCAGTTCCCGCAACACTCTGGGGTGCATCCCATCAGGGCCCATGGATTTGTGGGTGTCGAGGCTCCCTAGATGCTCYCTGACCCACTCTTCCTCTACCCAGGGCAAGCCTTCCTCTCTCTGGCTCTCTTCGTGTGTCCCTAGGGCCTGGGATTCTAGAGGGCTGCCCCTGACAAACACAGAAGCAAAGGCAGCATTCAGCAGCTCTGCTTTGTCCRTGTTTTYCGTAWCYAGSGTACCCACCCYRYTCACTAGTGGMCYCACGTTCTSCCTGACCTTCCTTTWGTTGTTGATATATTTGAAGAAGTTTTTCTTGTTACTCTTAACATCCCGTGCCAGATTTAATTCCAATTGTGCCTTAGCTTTCCTTGTAGCATCCCTGCATTCCCTGACAACGTTCCTGTATTTCTCCCAAGGGGCCTGTCCTTTCTTCCACATTCTATATATTGCTTTTTTCTGCTGGAGTTTTGCCAGGAGCTCCCTGCTCATCCACGCAGGTCTCCTGCCCCCTCTGCCTGACTTCTTACGCACAGGGATGCACTGTTGCTGGGCATGGTGGAAATGCCGCTTGAAAACTAACCAGCTCTCCTGGGCCCCTCTTCCTTCCAGAGCCCTAGCCCATGGGATCTTTCCCAGCAGGTCTCTGAAGAGGCTAAAGTTGGCCCTCCTGAACTCCAGCATGGCAAGGCTACTTACTGCCCTGCCTCCTCCTCGTTGGATCCTGAACTCTACCAGCTCGTGATCACTGCAGCCAAGGTTACCCCCCACCTTCACATCTCCAACAAGGCCCTCTCTGTTTGTTAGTACGAGGTCCAGCAGCCCACCYCTCCTCGTCGGCTCCTCCACAACCTGYRTCAAAAAGTTGTCATCRACGCACTGCAGAAACCTCCAGGACCGTTTGTGCCTCACTGTACAGTCTTTCCAGCTGATGTCGGGGTAGTTAAAGTCCCTCATGAGAACCAGGGCCTGTGACCGTGAGGCAACTTCCATCTGCCTGTAGAAGGCCTCATCAGCCGCCTCCTCCTGGTCAGGTGGCCTGTAGCAGACACCCACCACAGTGTCTCCCACATTGGCCTGCCCTTTAACCCTTACCCACAAGCTCTCCACCATCATCTTTCTCCAACTGTGCTGAAATAACAGCTCTGTTGTTTTTACATTTCACCATAATTCCTCTTTCACTCCTTCTTTTCAGTTTTCTTTTTTTTTTACTTTATTTGATTATTTGATTTACTTATTTGATTCTTTATTCTTGAGTATTAGCATCCCCTCTTATGGCTTTCAGGCTCTTCTTAAATGCCTTTGTCTTCAGTTTATCCTTTTATTCTGTTCTTGTTCAAGTGTTAGCAATGTGGACTAAGAAAGTGATAATGATGATCTTCCCTTCTGGTTAGATYCTTTCATCCTGTTGTTTCTGCTGTACTTATTTTGGACTCAAAGTGCTAGGTGAAATACAGTCTCTCAGTACATCTGCCAGCCTAGCAAGGACCTGACTGTCCATATCCAAAACACCACTGCATTGCAATTATTGATCCATAAACCAAATCATTTCATCAGTAAATGACTGCAGCACTTATTTACTCGTAAATACAACAGCTAACTGGGCAGCAATGTACATTCCCCTCTTGTTCATAATTTCTTTGTGTTTCTGTGTGATATTTATCTTAATTAGAGTTTCTGTTTCAGAAACTTAGAGGAAAACTATTGTAGAAACCCTGATAATGAGCAGAGGCCATGGTGTTACACCACCAACAGAACTGCTCGGTGGGAATATTGCACCATACCCTCCTGTGATGGGACAGACTCACATACCCCTGGTAAGCATAACTAAAGACATCCACAGTATGGAAGTTAGGTGTCCTGAGTTTTTGTTTGGAAAATATCAGGTGACTTTTTGATCAGTTGTATTATTGCTGTCATGCTCATTGTTGTTCTGTACCAGTTGAACTCCTGGGCCTGGTGTGGAGTCAGGCGGGTATTTTTAGTTTAGTGGAAAAGTAGAGAAAATATAAAAAAGCAGAGAAAATAAAAATCACCTACAGACCACCCAGCTTAGGAGAAAATACAGTAATACARTTCTTTCCATTTGCCAAGTGGTGTTCCTGTCCACCTCTAAATTTTTAAATGCAGAAGATAATTAGTGTCATTTGCCCCTTACTGAAATACTCAATTCAAAGTAAAACCTAAAATAGCTTAATGGCAATAAAGAAAGACTTCATAAAAAGTAATCCGAAGAAAATTCTCCTTATAAAATAAAAGCTTACTCAGCACACAGATTGATATCAAAACCACAGGCATTCCCTACTCTGGTGAAATTTAGACTCAAATGTGAACATTTCTGGAGCTCTACATGAAATAAACCATGTGATGTGCTTTTATTGAATAGAATGGAAATTATGTGCTTTTATTGAATCTTGACAATGTAAGCAATCTTTGACATTCTCACAAATGATTGTGGAAATCTTCCTTTTTGATATATAGACTGGGTAAGATTTGATAGAGAGAGCATCTTGTGAAAGTCAAAATTACTCTGCATTTTTATTTTATAATCTTTTTTCTATGCTCATGTGTAAATATCAAAGAATTAAGATGCAAGGGATTGGTTTCTGTTATTCACTGCAGCTGTTGATGTGCCTGAGCAGGCTCAAATTAGTGAGGAGTGCTATCAAGGCAATGGTGTGAATTATCGTGGTACAAGTTCTTTCACCATCACGGGAAAGAAATGTCAAGCCTGGAACTCCATGTCACCACATCGCCACAATAAAACGGCAGAACATTTCCCAAATGCGTATGTTTACTTCTCTTTTCTGCATTTTACTGCACAATGACTCTTAATGAACTCATTTTTATCTGCAAGATCTTTACATAGTAACGATTTTATAGTTGGGAAGGAGGTGGTCTATTCCATAAAAAATATTCCTTTCATTATCTTTTAAAATATGTTAAGATTTTCTATTAGTTTCAGCTTTAAATCAGACCACAGGTGTCACTATTATGTTTTAGACTATTATTTAATAATTTTACTTTACTTTGAAAAGAGTTAATAATAATCATAAACTTTCCCTTATATTGAGTTGAACTATTTCTACTCTTGTGTTTATTCATGAGTATAAGTCTTTGTTTGCTATTTTACAGTTTTGTAGAGTTTGAGGAAAAGTTGGGTTATTTTCTTAAGCCTAATACTTAGTATTTATTTATTCAAAAAAACCAAAAAACTCTTAAAAGCTGCTAGTCTTTTTGAATAGGGAGGATGGGGCCAAACTGTTCTCATGGGTAGGCCAGTGATAGGACAAGGGGTAATGGATACAAATTGAAATACAGGAAATTTCATCTCCATGTGAGGAGGAACTTCTTCACTGTGAGGGTACCAGAGCCCTGGCACAGGCTGCCCAGGGAGGCTGTGGAGTCTCCTTCTCTGGAGATCTTCCAACCCACCTGGATGCCGCCCTGTGCCCCATGCTCTGAGTGTCCCTGCTGGAACAGAGGGTTCTGCAACAGAGGGACTGCATGATCTCTAGAGGTCCCTTCCGACCTCAACCACTGTCTGGTTTTGTGAATATATAAAAATGATGCTGTATTTTTATTTTTATTAACATATACTTATCTATATTTGAAAGCAGTATTACTATTAAAAGCATTAATCAGGGAACATATACTTGCACAATTAAATATTCTGCAAATGTTACTTTTTTTGCTGAATAGAAACAGGATTTCTGGGATACCTGAAAAAAAATAATATATACCAGCTCTATACCTCACCTATTTTGTAAAATGCTTTTCAAGTCCCTCTGAGCTTTGGCATGGATAGGAATACAATATGCTTACATTTGTAGGGACCTGAGGCAGAATTACTGCAGAAACCCAGATGCTGATAGCCGCCCATGGTGTTACACCACTGACCCCAGTGTGAGATGGGAGTACTGCAACCTAAAGAAGTGCAATGATCCTACGCAAGCAAATTTACCCAAACCTCCTCAGACAACACTGGAACCAAACCCCGGTATGAAGGTGCCCCACTTCCCCCAAGAATGCTGATAACAAGGATGAAAAACAGGGAACTCTAAATAATTATGCAATTTAATATTTATCTTCTGAACTGTCTTGTAGAATTTTATAACAGGATTTCTGTATGCAATTTTGGAAGGATACATCTTTTATCTATTACAGCCAGCAACATTGGAAACTCGAGGAATGGATCCTCGGTAGACTCCACACTACTGTGGGAGGGCTAATAGTAGTTACAACTAATATAGAAGTAATTGTATTTTGATGGCAATGGTTCTAGGGATGCCTTTTCCTGTACCATGCCTCTACATTTCCAGGGCTCTATTTCCCACTAGAAAAGAGCTGGCTTTCCAAATTCAGTTCAGAAGCATTTTTGTTATACAGTAGATGATTAGTTTGCCATAGTTTTCATTTTTTTACTCCACCATGTTCTACTAATTAAAAAAACAATAATTCTGGCTGAATGTGTAGAACTGCTCCTTACGTAATATGAAAGGTTGTGGTGGGCAGATGGGAGTGCAATTTAAAAAGAAAAAAGATTTTATACAAGTCATGACAGGGCAAATGAATCTAAGCTATCTTTGGTTTCTGACCTCTCACTGTGATTGTGAAGAAAACCTTGAAAATAAAAACAAATTAAAATATAATTGTTAGCCATCACTATCACTGCCCCAGCCTTCTTTCTCTGTATATAATACAGTATAGGATATGTTGATCCTAGGAGTAATTACTCCATCTTCTTTTTGCTTCACTAGTACCAAGTATGTGACCCAGTGACTCATGGCTCATAATTGTTTCTTTTTTCTCTTGCTTTGCAGACTGTATAAATGGTAACGGTAGAGATTATCGTGGCACAGTCGCAAAAACTGGAAAGGGCAAGACTTGCCAAGCATGGAGTTCCCAGACACCTCATAGTCATGACTATTTCACTCCCAAAACTCATCCAGATGCAGGCCTGGATAAAAATGTAAACAGCTGTTGATGTAATACTGTCACTAAGCATTTTCTCGTTTCTTCATTAGTCCTCAGCAAATATTTCATATTTGGTCTTTTTGTAAGTTGATTTCTTCCCAGTTCAGTGCAAGAACCTGTCCATGGCAGATCCTGTTAATGTAAGCAATCTCTACTTTTGTGAGACACAGATATCCAGCAGACCTGTCAAATGGCTTTAGATTGCCATTCACTTCTCCTTGCAATTGAGGGCTATCTGCAATTGGTGTGGGCAGTATCTCTGCCTCTGGAGAGATTTCTGCTTGAAAGAGAAGCTGGAGATCACAGGTTTCAGTGGCATCGAGTGTTTTGGTGAGATAGTGGGAGATCCCATATGCAGTGGGAGTTCCTTCAGTCGGAAGCCGTCATTCTCTTCAAATAAAGTCCTCCCACCTACCACTCCAAGCTTCTGTCATAAGCCACCTCACAAGGATGCCTCTAACTCTTTCTGCAGCTCATCCTCCATCTCCTCCCTAGTCCTAATATACCTGTCTGCTAATAACTCTCCTGTTCCCAGACAATAGCTGTTAAAACTTGTAATGTCTCCTACCCAATACTTGCCTGGTTTGTGGCAAGCTGTGTATATGATACAAAAGGCTTGTCTAGCATTGCTGGTTCGAACTCTGGGTGCATGATTTTGGAGCTTACTCTAACCAAGCACCTAATGGCATCACATAGGCTGTGCTGAATTGTAGATCAAATTGAGAAAACTCTGAAAAAGCTGCTTAACAATTTTTTGTTGTTGTTCTTGCATAGAGCAAGTAATGACTTTTGTGGAAAGGAAGCAGAGATCTCCTTTTTGCTAAAACATTGCATATGTTACAAAGTAAGGAAGGGAGATAGAAAAAAGATCTAAAGGCATTTCTAAAATCAAAAAGAGACTGAGAAGGGCAAATCAGAACCTGGGAGTTCAGACTGTTTTGTACTTTCCCTGAAAACTTTGGACAATGTGGTAGACAGTTCTCTGCCTATGCTCCTTCTTTTCTCCTTCTTTCTCCTCTCTACATTATTGAACACTAGGTCTGGGCACGAAAGAGATGGTAAAGATGCTCTATAAGAGCAGAATTTTGTTAGAAAATCTTATAGAGTCAAATGCTCTTGCTTGCTGTATTTTAGAGTGGCTGATAGGCAGATACAGATAGTGAGATTCAGTTTGAAATGAACACACCTAAATTAACATGTCTACATCTGAGTGTCTGGTTGTGTGAGGCGCCTGTGCTGAATGGAGATTGGTCTATATGGCCAGCAAACCACAGACTAATTCAGCTAGCTGGGTATCTTATATAAGGATGAAATGAAGAGTTCATCTGTGCCTCTGGGTTTGATAGACACCACCCAGTTGTGCAAGAGCAGTTTACACAACACCCCCTTTCTGCACAGTCATACAAGCAGAGAGGGTGTGAAATAACCTCAGGGCTGACCCTGCTGTTCTTCTAATTTCAGTAGAAGAATGACGAAACAAGTTGGAGCTTTAGAAAATCCTGTTCTTGGTCTCATCCACTTCCTGAGATCTTAGAGGTCCTAGCTTGCCTCAGTGGATTTTGCTGTCTAAAACAGTTTTACTAGTTTCATTTTTATAACTATTTTTCTAAAATCACAGAATAGAAAAAAAAATGAATAACAATCTTTTGCCAAAAGGCATAAGAAATCACTCATGAGTAAGAAAGTTGAAAAATAAATCCTCATGTAATTCAGTATTATTTTGAAATATATATTGATAGACTTTTCTGCCCCTCCATTAAAAGCTGGTGTCTTCGTTCTTTGTTGCAGTATTGCAGGAATCCTGATGGAGATGTTAATGGACCTTGGTGCTATACAACAGATCCAAGAAAAGCCTGGGACTACTGTGACATTCCCAAGTGCCGTAATTATTCCTTTAAAGACTAATGCCTCCCTTTCTTATAACCTTATAACTGGAAGACATTCGCTGACTAATCTGAGACTGATCTAAGAGAGTGCAATAACTTTAGACTGGAAATTAAGGTTCAGCAAAGTGATGGTCAAGATCATTATCTAAACTCTTAGGAATGGTGCTATTCCTTGGAATCCCCCTAAACAGCACAAAATTAGCATGGAGCCCACAGAAGTTCATGGGGATTTTGCCATGTGTTTCTAAATGAGGCTATCACTACAGAATTTACTCCTCCTCCTGTTTGGTCGCCTGCCATAACCAAGTCATATGATGTTTGTGACTAGGCTGAACATGAGACACTCTTATTCAAACGAAATTCAGGGAAAAGAAAAAAAAAATGATGATGARGTTCTGATTCTGACCTGCATATAAAAACAGATATTTTCCTTCTCTGGTATTGTGCCATATGTGATGGGTGGGAAGTGCATCTGGTCGTGGATATTGCCACTGTGTCCTCTCGGTTGCTCCTGTGAGCCTCGGCATACATCTCAATATCTCAGATCAAAAGCCCAAAATGGAGCAAGCAAGAAAGAGATGTATGTTCCATAAAATGCCTGTACTGATTTTTTAAAATTATTGCTACCTTGAAAGTGTTAAACTGCATTTCGTGGGGCAGGGGGAAGACAATTTCACAATCTTCACTTTGTAGTTCCACATTCTCTTCAAATTTAGCACTTTTTTTTGTCAGCTGCTCTCCTGTGCACTGATAAACAAATGAAAAATATTCTTGGGAAAAAAATTGCTCGGCATTATACTGAAAGTAACATAGTTCAGCCTGAAAATTTCAAGAGTTTCAGATCAAGGTAATCTAACAATATTCAGGTGGTTTATGGTATAACTGCCTGTACAGGGAATCAAAAGGTAAAGAGATAAATGTAATAGGTTCACTTCAGATTTTTTTTTCAGAATTCAAAGTAAATCCTTTGAATCTGTTCATAGTGATTTCTTTCTTATTCTGCAGCTCCTTCTCAGTATGAGTGTGGAAAAGCCAAGTTCAGACCAAAGCTGTGCGCTCAAAGGATTGTTGCTGGGTGTATTTCACATCCACACTCCTGGCCCTGGCAAATCAGCCTTCGAACAAGGTATAGCTATTCCACATTATATTGAACTTTGCAGTCAAGGAACCAGGAAACAATATCTACTTCACATCTTAAAGTATGTTACACTATGGATTTGCAACATTCTAATGAGAATCTTGCTTTTAGTTTGAAAATAACATAAGACTTAAATATATCTAAAATAAAACTTGAAAATAACATAACATACATTTAATATTTTTTGTGATAATCTTGAAGAATGTCACTCACATAATAAGGAATGCTCCAGTTTTGTGATAAATACCTACAAAGTAGACAATTGCTAATTTGAAAATTGTTGTGATCTCGATAAAATTCAAAATGAGTTTAAAACTGACTCTATATTCTGCAGCAGAACCAGTATCCTATAAGTAGAAATAACAGTTTGAAGTGTGGCTAGTAGACATCTTGCTCAGCCCTTCCACTTTATCCTAGGTGKCTAAATTGATAGCAGCACTAACAATCCAGTCCAGTTCCAAAGCTATCTGACTGTTCAGAACTAAATAAAAATACATGATCTCTAAAGATGGAGATGTACAGATTACATTTTGCAGTAACATAAATAGTGGTTAGTCAAAACAGATCTGTTTTCATAAAAGACTTTATAAACATGTCCACACAACTTACTGTTATTGTAAGAAATACTGTCAAAGGAAAAATATATTTATTCTACATTTTTAGAATCAATGTCTTAGATTGTAAATACCTACATTTCAAAAGAATGGTAGTTTACCTCATGAATTACAGTGCAATAGAATTAACTTCTCAAACTTAACTTCTTAAACTCATGCCTTTTCATTTCTTTCTGCTGTATTGCAGTTATGGCCTACATTTTTGTGGTGGCACTCTCATAGATCCACAGTGGGTTCTTACTGCTGCTCACTGTCTAGAGAAGTAAGTATCTGTCATAACCTACAACAACATTTTTTTTTACATGATACAGAAAAATCAGGGGAGAATTAAAATGAGCCCAATAACTGATCTGAACTGTGTGTTTTTTTCTGAGAAGGTTTGGGGTGGAGCCAAGTGTGTTCAACATTTATAAAAATGTGTGACCAAAAAATGTGTGACAGTGTTGACTTTTGCCAGCTGATAGGCATAGCAAGCTYTGGTTTCATGTGCAGGTAATAAGAGATAAATTTTATGCCAAAGCTGTTATTTTTCTGATTTTGACATAACAAGGTGACCAACAATATTATAAGTGATCCATACCATGGGTGTTTATCTGCTCACTATGTGAAAACATTTCCAATAGATCATCACGGCCATCTGCATACAGAGTATACCTTGGATTACACAAAGAAAGAGCACTAGAGCCGTCAGTGCAAAAACGAGAAGTCGAAAAATTGTTCAAGGGGCCACGTGGGGTGGACATTGCTCTGCTGAAATTGAGCAGGTACCGTTTCATCTAAGGTATTCCTCTCTTCAGATGGGACAAGGGGTTTTCCCTGTGTTTTGACCAAACACTGTGTGCTGGCACATGGCAGTGAATGTATATTCCTATGCCAAGTGGGTTCCATCTGCTATTTAAGAACAGGCCCTCCACTTGCTTCTCTTTCTTCCCTTTCTGTGGAAGCTCCAGGGGAAACCAAGGTACTTCAGTTGCAGAACTTCAGAAAGGAACTGATTTGGGAGAGGGGGAGAGCTAGGAACAGGAACCTAACCTGGCAGCTGCTCTGCAGCAAGGTGGAAATGGCAGAGGAGGAGCCCAGAAGAGCTTTGGTTCAACATGCTTTTACCTTTAAAAAATAACAAGAAGTGAAAGTTGCCATGGTAGGATGGTATGACCCCATCCYTTTTTTCATGGCCGGGGTATTTCACTTCCCCTACCCTTACCTAAAGCTCAGGATTTCAGAGAATAGAATACATATTATGTATGAAATCTGTTAAGAAAGCCATAGCTGTTATCAAGGAAAAAAAATGCACTAATGACTTTTCCTGTATAAGTCTTCTTTTTTTTTATTTTTTTTTTCAGCCCAGCTGTCATCAACAACCATGTAATCCCTGTTTGCTTGCCTAAAGAAAATTCTGTGTTAGGAGGAAGAGAGGAGTGTTATGTGACTGGCTGGGGCGATACAAAAGGTGAGACAGCATTAACACCTCTGAAAGTTCCATGTTCCTAGAAGAATACCGTATACACTTGTATCCAAAATGAATCAGAAAAAGCAAACAACAACAACAACAAAAAAAATACGAACAACGAACAAACTTGAGCTAGCCAGAATACATATTTTACCAAATTTCACCAGGTTCTGCCATTCTTTTCATTGCCTCTCTCTAGTTTCCTGTCACTCAGAACTATGTAAATTGAAACTCCTTAAACCCATGCAAAAAGAGGAGAATCAAACCTAAGAATTTACTAGTTTTTATATCTCAGTCCACTCTGCTTTTCCCCAAAGTAAGCATTCAAGTAAACTAAAGGAAAGTTCTTCCATGCTATTTCCTGGTCACAAGAAGGTGAGTAAGCTCATCTTGTTGAGTGGGTTTTCTCCAGTGAGATTGGTCCAGATCTCACTCAAACCCCTCCTTCATTTTTAAAAYTTCCCACAGTGCCTTGAGCAGAGCTTCAATACCTTCTCTGACTCTTTACTAACTCCTACTAACTAAAGCCTCCAAATTTTTGTATGTTATGTGCAGCAAGCTCATGCATAGCGCACAAACATTAGCACTATATTACTGCTTATCCCTGTCATAATTTGGTCTATAATGATGCTTATTTATCCATCTAATTCATCTTGTTTTGTTTATTTTTTGCTTGCAAAGGAACTGGTGGAGATGGCTACTTAAAGGAAACTGGTTTCCCTGTAATTGAGAATAAAATATGCAATCGCCCTGAATTTCTGAATGGAAGAGTCAACAATCATGAGCTCTGTGCTGGGAATATTCATGGAGGCACAGATAGCTGCCAGGTAAGAAAGACTGTATGCATCAAAGTTGGTTGCAAGCACATTCAAATCAAACAGTGCTCTGCTTTCTGGGCTTTAGAGGCTCAGAATTAGCATCCAGGTGCTGCCATACCACGTGGTATAAGAGCTAAAACATGCACATAAACCTTGCTCCCTTTCTTGTTGTTATAGGGTAATGAAGGTAACTTTTCAGGCAAGTGAACTACCTAGCAGGTATAGTCCATGGCTACCGGAGCTAAGTGTACAAGAATTAAGTTAGAACAACTAATGATTTGTTTCTCCCGGRCCACTTTGCTTGTCTCAGCCAGACTATCTCAAATATCCAAACTATCTCAGTTGACAATCTGAGTCATCCCAGCTAAAGATCAAGTAACAATGCACAGACATACCAAAAGCCAGAGGAATCGCTTATTTCTACCTGTCAGAGCCTCTTAAAATCCTTCCATGTGAGGCAAACTGTATGTTAGCCTTCCCTTTTGTTGAAAAGTAAGGGTTGTATTGGCAATTGTCCATAATATCCAGCAAACAGGGTATGAAGACTTCTTCAGAAATACACATTTTCCAATTTCCTTTAAATACATAAAAAGTCTTAGAAATGCTTTTAAATGAATTAAGCTGGAAACTCTCCTCTCTGAAAAGATAGAAATAACTCTGTAAAGAAATTGGGCCTGTTTTCTCTCGAGAAGAGAAGGTTGAGAGGGGATCTGATTAACATGTATAAGTACMTGAAGGGGGAATGTAGGGAGGAAGGGGCCAAGCTCTTCTCAATGGTGGCCAGTGAAGGACAAGGGGAAATGGGTGTGAGTTGCAACACAGGAAGTTCCATCTCCATATGAGGAAGAGCTTCTTCACCGTGACGGTGACACAGCCCTGGCACAGGCTGCCCAGGGAGGTTGTGGAGTCTCCTTCCCTGGAGATCTTCCAAACCCCCCTGGATGCCGCCCTGTGCCCCGTGCTCTGGGTGTCCCTCTGGAGCAGGGGAGTTGGACTACATGATTTCTAGAGGTCCCTTCCAACCTCAAYCATTCTGTGAAATTCTGTGAAGTCTGAAAACAAGTGCTGACCTGTCTCAGCAGTCCAGATACCTTGTATGCAAGAACTGTGATGGGCAAACAGACCTTGGAGCAATGCACATTCATGTCTTAAGAATATGGTTTGAACATGTGCATACAGTTTGTCTTGGATCACCTACTGAAAAAAGGAAGCCATAAACACCTCAGAAAAAAAAAGAAGACTCAAAGAGAAAGTTTAACATGCTAAGGGGATCAGATTCTTTCTGACCAAAACCCTACTTCAAAATAAATGTAATTCTTGGGTGACAAGAAGAGATGAGGTTGCAAAAATGTTCACCACAGTCTTCTCTGGCTAAGCCTAGGTATGTTTTTATAACATGTGTAGGCCTCACATGTAAGAGGTATTTCTATTTCTGTGCCTCCTGTAACAACGGTAATCTTTGCATAAGGTACAGTCACTGAGAGTTATTCTATTCTTTCTTACTCTGTCTAGGGGGACAGCGGAGGACCTCTAGTTTGTCTTGACCAAGATAGATTTGTCCAACATGGAGTCACTTCTTGGGGCCTTGGATGTGCCCAACCCATGAAACCTGGTGTTTATGTCAGAGTTTCTAATTATATTTCTTGGATTAATGATATAATGGAAAGAAACTGATCCTAGATCCTGGATATGGACTGCCCTCTCCTGGAAAGCAGTATGCACATATAGAAGAAGAAGATTCCAAGTGCAATATTAAAGTTGCAATCATTCCTAACAAAGTAAAATAAATTTAATCAACTACTTAATAGTCTTTGCCAAGAAACTCCGCTTGTGGTTTGTCACTCTTTTTTTTTCCCTGTATATTCTAAGTTTTCTGCATTTGACAATAAACCTACCAGCCTCTAAAATACTTGTCAGTAATCCCAATACTATTTGTAACAGGCCATCTGTATTTCAATCTTATATTAGACTCTAGAATGACTTCTTCTAAGGTTGAACTTGCCAAGATGATGGGCCTCCAGCAAATGAATAAGGGCTACCGCACACTTCCTATGAGTTGTCTGACCTTCCTACCAGCTTAACTTAGAAGAATCTCACTGTGGATGCCAAGTTTTATTAAATGTATCTGCTATGGTATCAAATACACAGGACTGAAAAAAATAGAAGCAAATGCCTTTAATTGGTATTTACATATTTTTATTGACATGAAATCTGTGCTTCAGCAAAAGTGCAATTCCAGCATTATAAAGTAGTGAATAGAAAATAGCACTACTCTAACATTAGTCCACAATGAAGGCAGAGAAATAACCGATGTCAGTCACTGAATGAAGTGTTGACAATGGATATATTATAAAATTTTCATCAACAGCACCAGTCTTGTCTCCCTATATAATCTCTATTTGTATATTTTTCTCCTCTAAAATAAAAAAGATTTTCACATACCTGTCGTTATAGTATGCTCATAGAGCAACTCTTAAAATACAGATAYTTCTATGTTGTTCTATATTGGCAGATTTCTTCATGACATTTGAAGGTAAAGGCCAAAAAAGTCCACCATCCCCACAACCCAGTGCTTTGCTGCTCAATGACTTGTGCCGTTAGACATTTTAAGGAGGAAAAAAAAAAAAACCCAAACTCTTGTTCTCTATGTTGAACAACGTTGAATTTCTGAACCAACAAATATTTCCTAATGTTACTTCTACTTCTTTCATGGTGATTCTGTTTCATTTTACTTTTGCTTTACTTCTTTATTCAATSAGTTATTTCTTGTTATCCAACGTGTTTGCCTTGCAAGGCATGCTGTAAATAGGATTGATTTTTGATTATCCAATAAGGCTGTTAACATGACAAGCCTATTAGTCCTTGAAAAATTTACTCACACATTTTACCGCTGTCCCTATGAATAATTGCCATGTGGTGCTTACACTTACCAGCTGAGCTAGACTCAGACAACCATTCTTCACTGCTAACCTTTATGCAGGGTCCCTTTTATTTCTCGACAGGGAGTTTTATGCSATGCTCTTTTTCATTGGGTGAAGCTGAAGTCAAATGAGGGAAATTTCCTTCACATTTTAGAAAATAAAATGCTGCATTTATGTCTTCAGAAAGTCAATACAGCTAAAGAATGACCTGCCGGCCCCTCCCCCATCTCYTTAGTACTCCTCTTAGCAGCTCATCATCTTCCTTGTAATGATAAAACCTCCCTCAGTGAAGATGGGATCATTCTGCCCACTCTTGCAGTGCAGAGGTCCACTCCTACACATGCCAAAGAGCCTTTCAGTCATGCCAGGTTTTCTTTCTTTTAATTTCTTTTTTATTTCTTTCTTTATATATATATATATATATATACATATATATATATATATATACACACATATGGGTTGCATCCTTTTATTTTTTTTTTCTCCTATGGACTATAATGACAAGCTGGGACCGATAAAGAAGAAATAAGTGACAGGATGATTTTTAAAGCTGCTACACCAAATTTGGGGATAAGCAGTGATAACAGGGTAAAGCTCCAGTTCCAGTAACTTCCACTAATTCCCATGGGATATAATAAGCATGAGTACCCTCCCGTATATATTTTATATCCATTGTTTTTGGTCACTAAGTCAGTCAAGAAATCAACATAGTACCCTGACAACAGAAACTCGATATTTCAGATTTATTTTTGATTTTTAAATTTGTTCTCACGTAAACTCTTGCTCCCTCATGTATGCTGTGCATCTGCTTCCACCCAGGGTAACTCCATCCTGGGGTTATGCTAACTGGTTACTACCCAATTCATGGCCAGTGAGGCAACCAATAGCCTCCAAAATCCCTGTTATCATAGGGTAAAAGTTAGCACAGGTGCAAATRTAAATTCACCTGAAGTTACATCTAATTATAGTACTGTGATATCAGAACACAGAACAGTCAGAACACATCCAAATACTTTCTCTTGAGATCCTTTACATAACACATTTTTATAATAAAAATACATTTATATTTCTGACAACTTTCCTAGCCTTTTTACATACTGAAATATATTGCTCATGTAAAACATTTTGCTCTGTACAACATCATACAATACTATTCCAAGCAAATCACAGTCAGAAGGCACATTTATGGCTTCTCAAGCACAATCCAGTCACCAGCAAACACCAGCTGGCAAACAGTATTGACATTGCTTTGTCAGGCCAGAGCATTCAATGATTTCCATAGCCCTTCTCAGATTGCTTCAGTTTTTAAATTAAAGCTCACAAGGAGAAGCACGAAAAGTAACTGGGAGGCTCTCTGAAGGCTGTGCCTGCCTCCAAARGTCGAGCTCCCATCTGGCTGTGGCCAGTGCAAGGCTCATGCAACACCACGGCTCCCAGGTCAGAGCTGGCTTTCCACCAGCTTGCCCAGAAGGCACTTACTGCAGTGGTAGGCAAAAGACCAAGCTGTTTTCTTCATCCAGTGGTAGCTCCATACCCAGATCACATTCTAGATATCACCAATTAGCCAGATATATTTTGATGATTATTTAGTGTCATTCCTTGCAGTCATCAGTGACTTTTGYTAATATCCTCTCCCATCCTATCTACCCTGTTTTAACTATCCTATCCTCAGAGTAAATTAAAAAGCCTTGAAAGACAGCTCTGAATTTCCAGCTGTTCAAAGTATGAAAGCATTACATGACTAGCGAAGRTCCCGTTTTCCTTGAAGAGGGCTGATAGTATGGGCAGCTGGTGGGAGAAGGCAGGGAGGGCTGGGAGCTGTTGAGGTACATAGCACACTCCTCACCATGCTGCAGTGAGCAAAAGGGACACGGTAGGAAATCACCTGTGCAGGAAACTGGGCATTTTAAGATGGTTTGTGTGGAACAGTGGTCATTCAGCTGCACAGATCATAACATAATATGACTCATTTGTGGTATGAATTTCAAAAGTCAGTCCTACAGCAGATTTGTTATTTTCTGAGTTTATAAATCCCTTTACAACAGCTCAATGCCTATCAATTACCTTTTTCTTTTCTTCTTCATTTCTCTTTTTTTTCTTTTTTTTTTTTTCCTTTTGATTCTCCATTGGCACAGGATAGAATTTGAATACCACATCTTCTTGGTCCCCTCATTTCATGGGGTGGATTTTCTTTCTGTGTCTAGGATCCAACACTTGGTGAAGAAATCAGTAGAGAAGCCTGTGTGCTGCTGCTCTCCGCTCGCAGAGGCACAGATCCAAACACTTTGGCTGCCATTCAGCCATCAGACAACTGGGTCCAACTAACACTCCCATGCATACGCAAAGCTCTCAGCTCTGCTCTTCCAAGAAAACTAACCAGTCATAGAACAGGGATAAGAGATAATCTAGGGAGTGACCTTGGTAGACGAACAGGTCTGTAAGGATGAACAGAGAATATTTTCRAGGGGAAAAATTAGCATGTCCCTCACTCCATGGTTAGAAAAGGGCATCCCACAGGGGACAGCAGAGCAAAGCTCCCACCCTTGGAAAGACTGAGAGACCCCAGTCTGAGGAGAGCGGATTTGGGAAATATGCAAACCCCAGAAATGAGGGGCGGGACTAATGGGAATGGGGAATTCTGGGGGGAGACTATCTCAGGGCACAACTATGAATTCTCATCCTTCCCAAACAGAGAAATACCACTGCAGTATCTCTATGGTCAATAATCTTCTTCCTGATCCATCAGTTCTTCTTTTTGTCCAGATTTTTTAAGGGCAAAAGAAGGGGCAACAAATACTTATTCACTCCTCTCCAAATCACCAAAATCTTAAACAATTAGCACCCTTTCCAACTCTCCCCACCAGAGGTAGATTCCAATATTACATACTAATAAAAAAGAAGTTGRAAATATAATAAGATAAATAATTGATCACTGAGTTGGAAAGTGCATCTTCTTAAAGCTCCTACCAAGAACGACAAAGCATTTGCTTCCTGCAAACACTATACTCAGAAAAAAAAAACATATTTATTTCATATTTATAGAAAAATACACCATTTATTTTGAATGTCCTTATGCTCAGAAGAAGAGCACKGATCTGCACTCTGCAGCAAACTGTAAAGTGGTAGTCTGTGGTAAAAAAAATAATTCCCAGTATGGGAACAAGTTTCTTTGCTCAGTGTTGTCCTTCTTCAAAGATCAAATATAAGAGTTGGTATCTCGGTGTTTCCTTTTCTTGCTGCATTTACTGTAATGACTGAAGAAAGAGGAGGGGAAGGGGGAAAGAARTAAGAAAAGAGAAAAGAGAGTTGTAGTCCAAGCTACAGCACCAATCCATTTACTTTCTCTATAGATTATTTCCTCCCTCACTTTTTTTGTGCATTGAAATGGGCAAAAGTTGCTAGCATAAGAGCCAAAACGRCTTTTTGAAACAATAACGGAAGGCATTAAATCCTCAGGGAAATTACTGCCATGCAAACCGAAGTGTCGCAGTCCTGCCTGCACCACAATGAAGAGCCTGTCTTGTCATGCTTTAGGAATGGGAAGACAGCGCCCATAGCTATTCAGCCATAAATTCATCTTGTAAATGACTTTGTAATGTGTGGAGATGCTCCCATTATCAAAAATGTTTCCTCAGAGAGGTTTTCACTGAGGCAGTGGCTAGCGGTCTTCATCAGAGACCATAGTTGCAGTCTCTCTCTTGTACAATGTCACTTTCTGTTCCCAGATGTTCACAAAGTCTTTATAAGAAAAAGACAAATTCTATTTCCATGCATTTCTTTAAAAAAGACTATCTTTGCAGTATTGAAAAAATCACATTTCTATCAAGGAAAATGTCACCTGTGTACAACATTAGGCTGGCTAGGGAATTTACTTTGACACTCTAAGAGCATCAGTCTCTTTTTGTTGTCTAATTTATATAAGTTGCCAAGGTTCATTGAAACACTCTGCATAAGGTAGTACACATCATACCTTGAAAGCTGTTCAACATCATCCACTGTTTCTGGTAAGGAGATTCCCATTGTCTCTGGTAAAAGCAGTACTAAGAGCCCACAGACAACTGCGAGAATGCCTACAGTAGATGTTAAAGAAAAGACAAAGCAATAAGAAATTCATTTTCTTCATTATTTTCAGGATTAATCTACTGAAAAAAATCTTGTTTGGATTAAGGCTAAAATGAGTAATCCTACCTGTATAGAACATTTTTATCTTGAAGTCTGAATTGCCCTTAGATCTTAGGGGTCAAAAACCTGACTCAAGTGTATATGGGTAAGTGCACACAAACTGCACTGGAACTGAAATGATGGTTTCACCTAGGACAGGTGTACCTCCATTCAAGGGACTGCATTKAGATTTTCCTAAAATATTGTATTCACCTATGGCCAAAGTAGATTACATGTTCAAAACAAAACTTCATCTTTGGGAAGTAAGGAGTAGTAAGACTTGAACAAAAAGTAAAATATTCTCTGACTGTGTTATGCTTGGGGTTTTGTTTGTTTGCTTAGCAATAAAATCGTTCCACCCTAATTTTCTATCTATTTACTCAAAAAAAAAAAAAAAANTCCTCCCTAATTTTCTATCTATTTACTCAAGATAGCTGGATGTCCTTCAGCAGCAGTAAAATTTCGGAGTTAGATAATGTGAACACAGTACTTCTATACACATTTATTCTTGATGTAATTATGATTTTTTAAAAATGTCTTCTCTTTTCATTTGTGTTTTCAAGCTTCAAGCTGTTCAAGTATTAGTGATCTTTATCTACCAATGTCCCCTCTTATAGTAGCTTATCATTTTGGCTTTTTTCCTTTCATACATATTTCTGGAAGTCTGCTTTAATTGCAGGCAGACTTGGAAGGATGTGACATATATCACCCATATATCACTTCAATGTCTTACACCAGGTATGAAGGTTGGGAAGGGATGGAGAGGCTTGTGAGAGGGAGATGARGCCACATATTAAACTTCTGCCTTAAAAGAAAATCTCTGTTAGGAGAAGGCTATGTTAACAAACTGTGCATTTTAAGTCATTTCTTACTAAAAATAATTAGAGGTAGCTCCAGCCAAACGGTTGCTAATCGGAAGAGCAGGAATGGGGCTATGATGCCCCCTAAGTCGCACAGACTCGAGCACAGGGAAACACCAAAGTTCCTGCAAAAGAAAAATAGTGCCATTTATTACAGCTCCATCTACAAATCAGCTCCAAAGTTATCTCATCAAAATGTACCATTCACATTGAACTATAGCTGTTCAGTTAGAAAAATCTGGAGAAAACAGTTTTTCTGAAGAGCAGTGGAATAGGGAGTAGGGAAAAGTAGTGGAAAAAGTTAAAAGGATTCCCAGGAACTTCAACTGATAGATTTCCCCTGTGACCCAACTTGACTTACCTCAGCACCGTAGGGTACAATTCAGTGTTCACAAGATACACAATTTCGAAAGCCACAGTGATGCCCAGTCTTCCCAGTGTGGCTACAGTGGTTTTGAACCATGGGAGATCTGTTCATTCAAAAAGAAATCCTGATGAAGTTTGATTTCCTATACTAGCCCCGCACTTCATACGTGGTACTCATTTACATGGATTTCATACCGATAGCTCCACAGACTGTGGCAGAGTTTTTCTAATACATAGGCACAAGAAAAGAGTCTTCCTGGTTATTCATGAAGAGCCCAGACACAGTAAAACACAAGTAATGATGAGAAAATTATAAAAAGATGCTTCAGTATTTGAAAAGGAAAGAGATACTATAGTAGTAGTGTAAGAAACAGACACCCATTGCTTTGATCCAACTAAACTATTGCTTGAACACCACAGAACTCCAAGAGATTTTCAGAGGCCTTTGATCTCCTAGGGTTTATGGAGCAATTTCTGGCTATAATGSCTAGTTCTAGGTGTCATGAATTTAAAACTAGGGAGCAGAAGTACTCTTCATTCTTCTTCACAAGCAGAAGAATTACTGCCACAAGAAATCACTGACAGCAAAAGTTCACCAACTCAAAAGAGCTTGGAGAGCTAAGCACACAGCTAATGATTAACAAAATGCCTCTCCAAACCCTTGGCTTAAACTGGTCTGTATCTTTTTAGCAACAATCCCTCCATGTGTCTGGGGGAAAATGGGAGAAGGAATGAGAGCCCAGCGTCTCTACCTGCCTATGTGAATGATTATATATTGTCCTTGTCTTTTGACAAACGGTTAGAGACCTAGATGGACTAGATGGACTTCATCTAGTGCAATTTCTGTTTTTCTGCTTCTGAGAGAGCATGTTCCAGGTTAGTGAAAGCTGTATCACAGAAATTCTGGRTTGGTCAATTCAGATTGAAGAGCCACTGCTGTAGATAATTGTCTATACTGGAACCTCTTGTTTTGGAGAACAAAAATGATGTCCAACTCATTGATTCAGTGTCAAGGCACAATGCCATGAGTGGGAGAATGAATGCCATATGTTTCCCTGACCATATCCAAATTGTTTCCCAGAAAGGAGTATCTATTTATACAGGGATATTGCACACTCCCAGAAATGCAGTTGAGTTGTTACCTCCAAAGCATCTGACTACAAATAAGTCACTTTCAAAGACACATCTGCAGCTATAGGAAATTTCTTAGACCAGGCCAGCTGCACTGTATAATTTTTTTAGCCACTGCRCATTGGACATGTTCCTAATGATGTTGCTTTTGGCTGACCTCCCACTTCCCTTCCCTGATCCTGACGTCACACCTGACACAACGTGCCTGAGGGTTTACACTGCCCTATGTCGCTCTTGGCAGCAGGAAATAAGGTGCAAGGTCATATCTGACCCATGGGGCAGAACTATTCCACTATTCTAGGACTATTCTATCTTTGAGGGAAACCCTTCAGCAGTCTGACAGGCCTTTCTAGAGACCTGGTGGCCTCTGGAGAAAAGATTCAAGGAAAGTGGAAAAATACTTCAGTGCTCTTGGAAGAAGATGGTCTCCCATGCAGTCTAACCATGAAGATTTTTCAAGGTGGTCAAGAGTTGCCTGGCAAGGCAGATGGAGAGCCTAGAAAAACTGCAAGGCTGAACATGGTGCCAAGGGAGAGGAGGGTCTGCCATCAGCAAGCAGAGGTCTCTGGCAGTGATTGTGGTTTTACTTAAACAAGAACAAGAAAGCATTTCAGTTTACTCTGAAACAAAAGATGAGATGCTTGAGGTTGTTTTCCTTTCCAAAACAATCAAACAAATACCTTAACAAATGTTATCCCATGTTGTGAGACATTGCCCTTGCCCTGAAAAAGTCTGTTTTTCAAACACTTGTAAAAAATTTAAAGGCTAGAAATAACAAAATACATCCAGGTTGTCACCATGATACCCGTTCAGTCAATAAGCTCCTGAGGTGAGTGACGTACTCCTACCTCTGCCAGGAGGACCCGAGCAGTGTGAGCACTGCAATGTGAGTGAGCTCTGACAAGCTGCTGCTGCTGTTCTTCCCATCTGTATAAACAAGCATTTCTTGACAGGAAAGGATCCGAGCCCCAGGTGTCCCATATGCAAGTATCCTAAGCCCCAAGCTGTCCTCTTTTGAACCTGATTAACATTACCAGGAGCCAGGGTCCAACCACCACTGCGCTGTCACTACTGAAGACACACTGATGACAGCACCCAGCTGGCCATAGGTTACCCCTTTGGTCTCTCCCTCATGCRATACTAGCACCACAGGATGCTCCTGCTATAACCTCAGACCTGCTGCACAGAGCTCAACAAAATGGTGCTGCCACTAAAATGTACTTTCTTCAGGCAAGTGCCCTGAAGGAATAATTCCCCAGGGTCGTTCTTTGTGCTGACAATCAACAATCCTCTGTCCTCTTTGTCCCAATGCATCCTTTTTATTGCTTTCACTGGTTGTAAATGATGTTGGCAAACTCAACARCTGGCAAGGGAGAAATCTTGAGTGCCTAAATGGCCAATTTGTGCCAGAAATGCTCTATTTATATAGAGAAATGACTCCAGGTTCCCACCAAGTGGGGAGGTGCCACCAGCAGAAGTGTGCTGCCAGTGTTCGCTCACGGTGCACTGTGGCTCTTTGGAGCTGCTCGAAGAACAGAGGCCTAGGAGGTCACAAGGAGAATATTTCAGGACATCAGGGCAAATCTCCATGGCGTTCAGCTGTCAAACACATGACTACAATATACTAGGACAAAGTTGCCAGGACCAGACCCTCGACCTCCCCATCGCATTTCTCTGACACATTGTTTCTGCTTCTGTTGAAGCAAAGCAGATTTTGAAGCCAGATAACAATGATTTAATTTAAAGCTACGCTTTTGCTTTATCCYTTTAGCATCACCCAAATTCCTGGGAGTGTGAAGGCACACCATACTGTGGTTTTGGACTTGGAGGAAATGGGGAGTCAAACTGAAAAGTGGCCATTACTGCTTCTGAAAGAGCCTGATAATGCCAGGAGAGCCATGAGTCTGGATGAAGGTCTTTAGAGGTTAGGCTGTGTATTTTTCCGCACAATGATTTACCTGGAGATGAGAAGACTACCATATTGTCATACCTAAATCATTGATTTCTTATATCATTACTATCTTCCAAGAAGGGGATAAGTTTTTACCTTATATTTGTGTTCCCTTCCTCTGCTTCTGCCTTCAAAAACAGGGAAGGCCTGTTATGAACACCTCTCTTAAAACTACATCCATCRGAGACATGGTCAGTCCATGAGCAAATAAGATATATTTCCCATAACTGTGGTGTTACTTGCATTACAGGACACATTTTATCTACAGCTCTGTGGGGCCTCTTACTCAAGGGGTGCCCCAGAGAAGTCATTGACCTAAAGAGCCTAGTGTTTGGAAGCGAATGGAAAGGGAATTACCTTCTGGCAAGAAGGCAGTAATGAGGCATGCGATTCCTGCCACAATATTGCTTATGGCAAAGGGAGGGCGCCGACCAATGCGATCAATKGTCACTAAAATCAGAAGAGCTGCAGGAAGTTCTACGGCTCCTGAGATGAAGAAGTCTAGGTAGAGATTTCCTCCAGCAATTCCTAGGCGCATGACAAGCCCTTGGTAGATAATGGCACTTGTGAACCTAAACATCAAGGGGAAAAACATCATGTTGAGASGCAAACAAGCAACTGTCAACAGCTAGAAAGAACCTAAAAGCCATAAGGKAATTATTCCTCGAAACACTCCATCCTTCCAATTAATCACACTGATGTGCTTACTTACCAGGCATACATCAGAATCAGTGTATTTCTTCTCATCCGGGGAGTTCTAACTAGATCAAGAAATGAGGGATTGCTGACCTCTTCATTACTAACAGTGATCTGAGGAGAAAAGCAAGTAACAGAATCAGCTAGACAGGCACTAGGGCACAGTTTCTAAGTAAACTCCGTGCTCGGCTGTATTGCAGTCAAGCCAGAAAAGGTGTTTATGACCCAGTTTGCTGCTTGGCTTAATGGTAAGCAATTACAGGAAATAATAATTAAATACAGCTGCTGGCATTTTATGCTAATGATGGTGCATAAAATTAAGAAAAAAAATCCGCAAACTTCCTTTTTGTGTCCTTTTGCAAAKAGCAAAATAATTTCTCAATTGCGAATGAAGAGAAGTTGACCAGGAATTTACTTAAAGATGATAAATACATTTTGTCTTAGTATAGTCAGTCAGAGCAGAGTTGCCTTTGACTAGAGACTGGCAAATGGAAGGAAACTGTCACAGGAAAGGCAAAGCAATGGGGATGTGGGAGGCTCCCCATGCAAGAGAGGGCATGAGCAAAAGAGCAAAAAGCAACGTACTTGGTAGGGTTTATTGCTGACACAGCTGGGCAGCAGGGAGAAAAAAAAAAAGTGCTATGAGTGGGATTGGATTTCATAGAACTCTTTACTAGAAAAACACAGATGRACTTAAAACAGAAGCATTATGCTGAATATAGCTTTTACCCTGAAGCAGCAGTCATGGGTGAGATTTACATCTGTTCTCAAAGACGTTGTAGAAAAGATGCAGTTAAATTCTCTACCCTATTTTGAGGAGGATTTCAGGCAGGCTCTTTTGACTGTCAGACAGCTGACAGTCCTCAGAGGAAGGACTGCTGACAGGGGGAACCCTCCTCTGTGACTGCAATGTCTACTGCCCATGGAAGGGACCTCCTACACCCGTGTTAGGAGCTCAGAAACTGCTCGTGGCCTGTGAGGAGGTAAAGGTTTCACAAGAGTGAATGGACAGAGAAGCACATGGGAACATGCAGATCAGCAATGAGACAAGTGCTAGAGCCAAAGGCACTGCCATAGGATCTCCTCAGCTTCGGGCTATGTCCACCACATTCATTCTGTACTTGTTTTTGATATTATAAGATAGCACAAATGTTTCTCAGTAAGATTGGGCTGGATGTAATTAAGCATGACATTTTCCRTAACTGAGTGTCACAAGACTTTATAAGTGGGCACAGAAACTACACATTTGTTTGAACTTCCTTTCTACTCAGTGCTGTTTTTCTTCTGTAACTAGAGACAGAAGTTTCTTCAAAATGCTGCCCTATCTGCTGTGTGCCAGAGGTCTTTGTGGAGCTGGCTGAGGTTGCTGGATTTGTTTACTGCTCTTGAACATATTCATTATAYGGTTATAAAGCTACCATTATTTTGTTTATAAAAGCAGGCTACCAGCCACCAGTTGTAACTTTGTGCAAATATGGTTTAAGTTCTTATATGGCAAAGATAAACTCAGCATTCTTGCTAACATTATATTTTTATGTTTTAATAAAGTCATAATAATGAATGAAGAAATAAAATCACTCTGGAAAGTCAATTCTCTGTGGGAAAAAGTATCTTCTTTTTGTTATTTGAAGGTAAAGACAGCTTTGTTATTCAGTATCAGTATCAGTAGTCAGAAGTTCAATCACAGAACCTATGTTACCAAAGTTATATTATCTACAAAGTTTACTTTGGAAAAATCTCTTTTTTATTAACTTCCCTATATTTTTTTTATTCCCGTCAAACTATACCTCACTTTCTTCTGCCATATTTTTTAAAGATTCCTTGTAGCACAGAGAATTCTGCATATGCTTAATTTCCCAGGAAAGTATATCCATGAATGTAATATATATGTATATAAGTTCATATATATATTATAAGTATATATGTATGAAGAGAAGTTTTATTTTGTTTCATGACCCTTTCTTGTAGTTCTTACTCAGCTGKCCACAGCCCATTCCCCTTTTGGACAGAGACTGAGAATGAAAAAACAATACTCGAGAAAATACATGCCAGGATAATTACAAGCAACTGGGGAAAAAAAATTTAAAAAAGAGTGTTATAATTTACAATGCATTTAATGAGTCTGGACAGAGCTGGACTGTATGTCATATCATAAAACAAAAGAAGCAAAAGCTTATCTGCTTTCATACAAAGGTCATCTTTGGTATTTGTGTGCCAATGAAAATGTAAAGCTATTACATCGAGCGCCACATAAGGGACTTGACATATATGCTTGAAAGCCCTAGGCAAATGCACTGATACATATTGCCTCTTGCTTTCCCTCCCTCTCTACACATGCACCTCTTTGTTTGAAGTTCTGGAGATATGTAAAAATGAATTCCAATGTCAGTTGATGTGAGAAATACACTTGATCCCCTACTAACACATTTCTTGGAGATGTTCTCTCWGCTCTGGGCAGAGCACCAAAGATGACAGACTTTGTATACTGAAAGGTCCCAGGAATAGATCCAGCATGGATCAGGATGTGTGGAGGTTAATGAGCTGCAGCTGTAAATAACTTAAATGACTAGGAAGGACATTTATGGAAAAAAAAAATAAACGTGACTTAAAAGAAAAGAATTAGGGAMAGGCACAACTGTCCCTTCAAACATGCCGCTTTGAAAATGCAGATGTTTAGTGAAGAAAAGCAGATCTAAATGTGAAGGGAGAACTGTGGCAACACAGTGATTCCCTTATGTGTCCCAGGCCACATGTGGCACCAGCTAACACTGCACAGGACAGAGGACTCCCACTAGGGAATATGCTCCAGGCAAGAACCATGAACACATTTACCCTGTCCTCCTCTTCAGTCAGTCTTTTCATTAAGTTTCTCTCTCAATGTTTTCCCGTGCACATCTGCTGTTATCATTTGACTAGGTGACCACATATAGTCTAAAGGCAGGCAATGCTACCAGATGTAGAGTAAGACCATGTAAAATGCTATAATTGCATGACAGTTGTTTGAAGTGCTCTGTCTTTTCATCTCTACCAAGAACACTTGGCAAAGGTTTTGTAGTTCTAAGATATTTTCTCCTATTTTGTATTTGGTGATCTCAGACAGTGYATCACCTGTTTTGAATTTTGAGGCATAATTATCCCTGTATTAGGATGGCAGAAGGTTTATATTTAAATTCAGATTTCCCACTAGGTCTTTGCTTTGGGATGTCAAAGTAGTTCTAGTAAGAGCTGCAGGAAGTAGGTCCTGCTGCCTCCACATGCTCCGTCAGTTCTAACTGCAGCTGCTGGCCCTCACTAGAGTCAGAAATGTCCTGCATGTCTTTAAGGAATGYACTGCAAGAAAGACTTAGCTTTTTAAATCTGCTTTTCTGCTATTTTTAAATCTGTTTTTCAGCCCACATCTCTCCAGTCTACTCACTTGTAGTCATTTGCAATTACAAAGTTGATAGAGAGCAAAGTATTTCACCCCTCAATAACGTTGCCTGCCAGGCAAAGAGAATGCACAGAACTGAATGTTCAAAAGTTTAAGAGAGTTCAGAAGAAAAAAAAAATAGCTTAGATAGATGACAGTACCTCTGAATAATGTGGTGAGAGATACTTCCCATTGTGTTTTGCAATGTCATGCATGATTTTTAATGCCTTCTCTCCCTTTTTACGTGTYAGGAGCCAGCGTGGAGATTCAGGAACTGCCCTGTAAGAGCACAKAAGAGATTAATAGGAGTTTTGTCCATTAACATAATCAGTTAATCAAAGTCCCTTGTATTTTGCCTGTTTTTATACCTAGGGCACAATTTGGGGGAGATAGAAACTCTTTTGTGGACTGCTTTTTCCAATCCCTCTCTMATGGGACCTGTGGAGCAAACCCATGCAGAAAAAGCCTGATGCAGAAAAACTTCGGAAAAATCACAAAGATTAACACCCTGCTCTAGACTGACCAGGAGCACARTTGGGCTGGGAAAGTATGAACCTTGGAGGTTGTGAAGGGCGGACAGTGGAAAAATAGAAGTAACGTGTCTCTGATTCACTTAAAACAGTTACAAATGACAAAATCAACAAGATCATAAGGTCTTACTGCTAAAATAAGAACATCTTCTTGCTAATMTTCACTATTTTGAACAGGGCAGACTTGTGCCCACAGCTGGGGTCTCAAAGCACTATAATAGCCACATCAATAAATAATAATAAGAGCAGTGACTGCAATGTTACCAGTAGTAGAGCAGGAAAAGGAAGTTGGGCAGAGAAATGGCCAGCTGGATACCCTGCCAGCTGGGAATCCAGTATGCAATTCCAGGGAGAATCATAATTCCCAGGGTGAAGAATATCTGTATCACAATCCCAATGATCCGCTGGTCAGACCCAACAATCTCCATCACTGAAGAGACAGAAAGCCAGAACAAACAATACAGAAAGAAAACTTGCTCAAAGGAGAAATATTAGCTACAGTCCCACACCACATCAAAAGTCCGTCTAGCCCGTTGTCTCACCTACAGCAGTAGAAGCATTTCACAGAGCTTGCGCCAGGGCAAGCGAGGGTGGTACTTGGCCATTTACTCACCTATTCCCCTTCAGTCTGTAATACAGAACCTTCCTGAGCCAGAGTGTTGCTAAATTGTTATCACTCTCCCTTGCACAGTTTGGTACCATGCTTCAGACCAGGGAATCACCCAGGACAAGGCTGTTCCCAATAGGGAATTTGGATAAGGCTTTTGTGGGAAGAGTTTTTAGCAATACCATGCTGGTTCCCTTGAGGGCTAAGGAATGGTTCCCAACCTGTTTTATTTACTAGTACAAACACAGCCATTTTTAATCCTTTGTCAGATTTTAAAAATTTGTGAATGTGTCTAATTTCTTCTGAAATTCATGTAAACCCATATTTCAAGCAATATCCTATGGCCACAAGATCCACAGTTGAAGCACATGAAGAATTGCATCCTTTCATTTGTCTCAAACCTGTAGCTATCTAACCCAGCAATGTAAAGTCACTGTCAAGGAAATGGTTTACCTTGGTTTCCAATACASAGAAACCATTTTAAAATTTACTAGAGGAAGCACAGTTTCATCACCAGCAGCAGTTTGCCTCAGATGACATTGCTACTACTTTTATTGACTGATCTTTATGTCTACACTGCAACTGGTAACCTTATTGCCTAAAGGCAGCTGCCTCAGTGTTGGCCTGGGTAGACCTGGGTTGAACATGAATGCTAAAGAGTTTCTTGGGGTGACCAGTCATGTTGAAGCCCAGACTGATAGATGGGGAGCCAGTCTCCTGTGCCACCTTCAGTACCTTCCTCTTAAAAGAGGTTCAGTTTTCTTTTTAAGTAAATCTAATAGGTCCTCTTTAGAAGGATGTCCTCCTTAACATTATGCCACTTCATGTTCCAGAAAGCAATTGGAAAGTTTCCCTTCCTGAACCTGGCAGTCATTCAAGATATCATGGCAATACTCTTTTCTCCTGAAAAGTAAGCTTGTTAGAAGGGGKTTGCTATCACTGGGCTGTGACTAAATCACCTATCAAAAAGTCTGGATTTGACACTACAAAAGAAAAAAAAAACACCTTTTCAGGAAATGATAATCTGAATATGGATCCTGSTGTACAATATGTCCAAGCTGGCATTAAGCAAAGTCTCCCTGCTAAAGAATGAAGCACAGTCATCCAGGCATCTATTCTCATGGAGAAATGCAGTTTACTCCTGTGAGGACCTGTGGAAGTTGTTCAGACTCTGCCAAAATAAATAATTTCCCTTTTAGTATATCCTGTTTGATTCTTGGCTTGCTCGGTAGATTATGACCTATGTGGTAATCTCTATATAATAAGGAAACCTTTATATACACACATGCTGCTCCTTCACCTAGTGAATTATTTATATTTTCTTTCTGTCAGTGCCCCTCCCTCTCCAACCAAGTCTTTAGACACCCATAATAGATTTAATACAGCATCAACAGAAAATGTTGCATTGTTACTGCACTACCTATGGCCAGCTGCACAACGGGAACGAGGGATTCAGAGAAGAATTTAGATTAGTTCTGGAAGATAGTTCATTCTTGTTAACCCTTCCTCAGGCCTCACTACTCTCCATGGGATGTAAAAAATCAGGTAGGCATATGCACTGCTGGCCATTTCCATCTTGTAGCAGCAGTGAATACCACGGAAAGCTTGCACTTGCTGCCATGCCAAAAGACCACCTCATTGCTAGTAAATTAGTAAATATTGCCAAGTGGAAAATCCTACTGCCTATACTATTTAGCTGCTGGAAAGATTGTTGTCAGCAGTTCAGACTCAGGGCAAATAAATGTTTCCCCAAACGTTTAGCTCTGGCATTAGCCCTGACCAGGGATCATGTCAGGTGGCAGTTTGTATGTAACCACTTTGTCTTGGGAATAAAAGCATTAAATAGGACAGGCTTGGGTTGTCTTCTGCCTGCCAATCTCAGAGTCTTATAAGCTACAAGAAAAGAGTTACTAAAAAAAATTCAGTTATAGACATAACCAGATATTTTGTTCATCATCCCTTATTTTTTCTAACCAGAAAAAAAAAAGAAAATAACATCTCACCAATCACATAGCATGTCATCCAGGTTCCTTTGCCAAACACACCTTGGAGAAAGCGGAAGATCAAAAATACAGTAAAGTTTGGTGCAAATGCAACTATGACACCACATATCCCAACGCCAAGGCAGGAAAGAAGATAAGTGAGAATTCTGCCATATCTGTTGAAAAGGGAAAGAAAGTGAAGAAAGTGAAAATTATTAAAGGCCACAAAAACAAACAAACAAACAAAAAAACCCTCAGCATCTCATTTCAATGCTAGATTCAAAAGTGCCTTTTTGACATCTGCCTTGCTCCAAAGGGAGGCTGCCTGAATCTGTGTGGTGTTGGCTTTTAGGATATGGGACTGTTTTGTCTGTGGTGATTATCACTGCCTTTATCTTGCTAATTTTAAAGCTGGTGATGAAGATAGCCTCCCTTCTCTTTTAGGAAACAGCTTTTATTTTTTTAGCTGCCTAACAGCACAAATATTACAGTTCAGAATTTGAATGCCATTGAAACCCAAGGTTTCAAAAAGTTGCAACTTTTGGGGAAGATTTCTTTTTCTTAGTCAACTGCAAATCCAGTCAGCTCTCTGAGGGTAAGCCATTTCTTTAAATACTTTATCTAATTTTCCAGTGTTTTGTTTAGAGTTAAGACTACCTGTATTTTAACTCTGTTTTATGGATTCAGGAGCCTCATTCTTCAGCAAACAGAACTATTATTAATGGTATGCCCAAAATGAATCCTAAATTAAAAAAAAAAAAAAA